CTTTTATTATATTGTACTATATACTACATTCCCTGTTATATTATATTTTACACATATTTATTTCTTAAGCAAGATATTAAACTTTTTATAATATTTTCAAATAAAATAATATTTGTAGTTTTGACTAAAATATGCAAATAAATATATTGTATAAATTGTAATGATTGATAACAATGATGAGTAGTTGACATCAACCCTTTATCAACACATAAACATAGCTTCAAACGTGTAACATTGTACAAGAAATCCTGCAAAATACAAGAGTGATAAAAAAAAACTTAAAGACAATAAAATCTTATCAGTTTTTACTAAAATACCAGCAAATGCATACATAGTAGGCTAAAAATGTATGTTGCTCTGAAACACTAATGTACAAAAAATTTACATAATTAAACTATTTTACTGAAAAAACATGTTTTTCACCTTGAGGCGCACCCACTTTCCCTGATAAATGGTGGCTAAAATATGGATAAAATCTTTTTAAATGCTATGCTTAATATGCTAAAAGCCTCAAAAGATTTCCTGGAGATCTTCTTGCAAATCAGTAGAGAAAGCATTCAAAGGTTCACTAATGGCTGAAGGGAACATAATCTGAAGCTTTAGCTGGCCTCGACAGGAGCACAAAGACTTTTAATCATACAACACTGTAACATAAACCTTCGAACATTTCAGATAATTAGGAGCCACTGTTTTTCAGAGCAAAGACTCCAGGCATTAAGCAATATCTGGCTGCAGTAGAACATGTCAGCCTTTCAGCACACAAAGCCTCACGCAGCAGGACCAACATTTCTCTCCCCTGTGATCCACAGTCAACAGCAGCAGTCAGCCTTTCCTCCCCTGCTTTTGGTATTGATATTTGCTAACAGCCAAAATTACTTTTTGGAAAGTATCATCTGGGATGTTATATAAAACAATAACTGCTAGATCAACTTTACCTTGTGTTTTATTACATCTTAAAATGAAAGTAAGAAAATGGAAAGTTGTTTTTTTTTTTTCTTATTTCTCCTCTGGTCACCAGCTGGATTCATGAATCACTGTGAAATAGCCTCCTTGTTTTTGCTTCATCATAGATCAAAATCTCAATCTTTTAACTGTATTGTTTTACCTAGAATGAGTGCCTCCAGCAAATATGAAAAACACAGAAAATGCTTTATTGCCATACATCCATTTGCTCTAACAATGGCCTCCAACAGAACAGCAGTAATTTAGTGAGGAACTCCAGCTGCTACGGAAAATGCACATCTCCTAGTAATAAGCTGTGTACGTCACAGGAACCTCTTTAATCTACATGCTTCTGTGTAAAGTGGGTGTATTTACATGCCAACAGACTGTGAAATAGCTGTATTAAAATAAAAAACACATACAAGCAAAACAAAAAATGAAAATCAGGAGGTGTATTTTCAGTGAGTTTTGTGGTATCTGTGTTTGCCAGTGTTTTTGAGTTGACCTTATAAAAAAAAATACATTACAGTCTCTAAAGCTGTCTGATTGTGGATGCACGTTGGCATGAAATAAAGAATAAAACCAAAGGCTCTTCTTTTTTGTCATACAATAACATGAAAATCTGTCATGTGATGATAAGCAAGGGATGCTTTTATATTTAAAGTTCATTATCCAAAGACACAGATCTCTGTTTATACAAACAGCATTGCTAGATGTAACTGCATATGTTAAATGTTCGTAGGTGTTAGGCTGCAAAAGACAAATCGAATAAAATCAGAGGCAAAAATCACAAGGGAAAAGAAAGAGCCATGTCTGCTCTGAAGATTTGTAGATTGGCACTTCCACCTAGAGGTAGATTGCTGCAATTACAACAGGTTTCATTCTGTTTGCTGCAGAACCTGCATTCTTACACTGTTTTAGATATGTCTGTAAATAATTTAAGACACACAAAAACATTTTAAAACAAAACAACAAATGTAAAAAAAAAAAAAAATACAAAATAGCTAAGAAGTGATGACTATGGACTAATAAAACAATATTGACCCATTTTAGGTAAATCACATCCAAACTCATCACATCCAAAGTTTGCTATTAAGCCCATGCATGTGGGAAACATAGTGCATCTGTTTCAAGAAATGAAGCCAAGGAAGGTGGTGTATCGATAGCTCTAGAGTGTCCTGGTGTCCACTGTTGTAGGTCAGGACTCATAAAGCAATATTTTGGATGAGTTGCAGCTGCTTGACTGACTCTTAAAATCCAAACAAATTTAATACATCAAAAATGAAATCCTGCACTAACTCCTCTGTAGGTAATGATTAGAAACTGTTATTCTGGTAGTGTGTTTCAAATTTAGTGATAGATTTCAAGTTTTTAAAGTTGCATTCTGACTCTATGATGATACCTATGTTTAGATCATGCTTTGTGCAAGCTCTGGGTTTTAAAAAGTTTGGGAGTTACTTCTATCTCTTTCTAGGTCTAAAAGGTAATAATACTAATAATTTTATTTATTCATCATTTCAATTGTTGATACATTGATATTTTGCAGTTAACCCATCTGTTGGCATCCCTTTGGGCTAAGGGTGTTGCTCAGGGACCCATGGTAGGGATTTGAACCGGGGAACTTGCAGCCTTGCCATAAGGCAGGAGTCCTCCTTTAACAGATACCCCAGCACTCTTTCCTTCAAAGGATGAAACAAAGGAAGATTTAAACTAAATGAAGATGACCTTCCATAAAGTACTAGTTTAAGGATGTGCCTACTACTGCAACTATGTTGTTAAAGCTCTTAAACAGAGACGGGTTAATTACTTATTATACTGAGCAAAAACATGATAAAATATCACTACTCTTACTTGAGTAAAATTTCAGGCTACCCCATCCATTGTAATTCCACTTAACAAAAACAAGTCTGTCTTGAGTGAATATGCAAATGTGAGAGACACACTTTCTTCTTTTTTGTACTCACAGCTTATAGGTTAAACGCCTGCGTAAATTCTTAGTCAGCTGGGTCATAGCAACCACAAAACAGGCTTTAATTGGAAGGCAAAGGACTTTTCTGAAGACATTTTAGACACCTGTCAGTTCAAAGGCTCCTTTATAGGTGTCAAAACATCTTCAGAAAAATTAAGTGAAAGCCTAGCTAGTTGCCTCCTAATTAAAGCATGTTTAGTGGTTGATTAAGTTTATTTCCATCTGCTGAGTCTGCCATGTCATTTGGAGGTTGGGTGAAAGCACAGTAAACAGTATACTGTAATTTACCCTATTCCTATATACTTAAACTATTCCTTTTGTTTTATAACTCAAAACATTTATTTAGAATAGGGTTAATTCCACATCATTTTTCAATTCTGTAATTGTTTTTTTTTATGTTTATTTTTGAAACACCAAGATATTTTGCTAAATTTACCATAGTTTTTGTAAACTATTAAATCATTAGCTTTGAACATGGGTATAAGGAGATCTGTTACTCAGTGCTTGAGTACCCTCTTAACCAAATACTCTTTTTACTTTTGAGTAAAAAAATGATAAAATAGTGCTACTCTTACTTAAGTGCAATATTTGAATATTCTACCCACTTTTGCTTCCAGTCGCATGCTCTCTTGTTTTTTAAGTTAATTGTACTTAATAAACCATATGAAAGGTCAAACTGATATCATACAATCTGTTGTCTAATCTTTCTTATCAAAACTCATTTTCTTGTCTGGGTTTTTTCTCTGTAGATGAAGAGCAACTTGGTTTGCTTTTGCTTCTGCAGAACTTCAGGTGCATCCCAAATCTCTCCTTCTTCAGTCAGTATTGAACAGATACTGTTTCAGTTGCTTAACACCTTTCTAACAATGACCAGCCGCTTGACATCTTCCAGTCAGGCTTCTATGCTCACCGCAGTACAGAAACTGCCCATTTCTAGCTGTTCAATGACTTCTATATAAACACAGACTGATATTATTGGACCTCAGAGCAACATTTGACACTGTTGATCACTCCATTTTATAAGAGCGCTAAGAAAACTGGGGCTTCCTTTCTGGTCCAGTACCAAACTAGTTTAAATCCTACTTGAAGGACAGGAACTTTTCTTATATCAGTAGGTAGCTTTACAATAGAGAACACTAAATCAAATCTTAGGTCCCCTTCTATTCAACAGCTGCATGCTTGCCCTAACTAAGACCTAAGATCAAGTTACCATAAGTATGCAGATGACACAGCTCTATGATGTCACCAGGTGACTAGGAACCCATTCAAGCACTGCCTAAATGCATACAATTAATTGATGCATGGAAGCTAGCAAACTGCTCTAATCTACTTTGCATACTCACAATCAGAAACAAAGATGGAGAAGAAGCATTTAGGTTTTATGTTTTGCATGTTTAAAATAACTCCTAAAAGGGGAGAAGCGATGAAGTTGCTTTAAATCAAGACTAAAAAATATATTAGCTTAGTGGCCTTCAACTGTGCAATCTAAACATTATAAGTTAGTTTTCAAGTCCTACTTTCATTCCATCTTTTTTTTATTATAAAACTCTCATATTATAATGTGCCACTCCAATTCTCTTTGACTACTTGTGTTGCCTCGATCCCATTGCAATGCACGGTTTTTTAATGTGTAGTACTTTGAATTGTCTCGCCAATGAAATGGGCTTCATAAGTAACCTTGCCTTGCCTCACTGTTTAGTGTGTCGATTATAGCTATTGTCCCAAACTTGCTGTATAAATATGTAGTTTACAAAGTAAAGATCACTGCAGCATATCTTCATAATCATACACATATCAGGAGATTTCAGTGCTTTCAAAGGCAAATAAAACTGATCATTAAGAATAAAGAGAAACAGGAACAAAGCAGCGCTTAACATTATTCTCACTAACATCAGCCTGGGTGGAATTCATGTGACACAGACATTTGGTGGAACCAATCATTTATTGGACAGTTTAAAAGCACATTGGCTGGTAATGCCCTAGTTATGCATTTCAATATATATATTTACTAGTTAACTGAGTAAAAGAATAATTTTTCTGACAGAATTCTTAGATAAAGTTGAGACTGATAAAATGCAAATTTTCCCTATTAGGTGGTAACATTTTATTTCAGAGATAAATTTATATAGTTGATCGATTGCAACAGTGATCCAGTATGAGTTTACTATAAGATCCTCTACATCTGCTGAGCTTAATTAGTATGCTTTAATATAACTGAATACTTCTCCACAATATCAACATAAGATGACAGTGTGTTAAACTTTAAGTCTTCACAATCAGAGCACATTTGTTTCCTAATCATAGTGAGAAAATACAATTTCTTCCAATCATACAGCATAACTCACTGTTATGTCATTCAAAACAGAAGCCACCATTACTTTAAGTGACTTATATACTCAAACAATAGAAAACAGATTGAACTCCCAACTTCTCAGCAGATGTCAAAAAAGGAAATATTCTGCATCAATTATTAACAAACACTAAGCAAATGAATTATACATTAGTCTTAAATGTATAAAATAAAAGGGAATTTGATACAGGATACAGGGAATTACTCAAGATGGTACATAAAACAAAAAAAATAGAGAATACTTTACTTCAACATAAAATATAGATGTAAATAAGACTTGTTTGGCATTAGTGGGTTTAGTCTATTAGTAAAAGATTTATTGACCGTTTCAGTCACATTCAATTTGAATATTTGTTAATTTTTTTTCCAGCTACAGAGTGATATCTACTGTTTTTAGGTGCAGTTGTTTAACTGGTGCTCCTTGAGGAAACCTCTCATATAGTCTGCAAGGGCTGCAGTGTCCTCCAGAGTTACAGCGTTGTACAAGGAAGCACGCATCCCTCCCACCGATCTGCAGGGGGAGACAGAAGTTAATGATTTTCTCTTCAGTAAAAGGTGCACGAGTTTCAGGCCTGCATGACAAACCTGTGTCCTTTCAGTGAAATCATTCCCCGCTTTGATGCACCCTCCAGAAATTTCTTTTCCAAGGCATCGTCTCCTTCTTTCTTCCCCACACGAAAAGGCACGTTCATGCGGCTTCGACAAGCAGCATCCACAGGGCACCTGACCAGTTAAAAACAAACACATGAATGATGATGAAATACATTTACTTTATTCTTCCATTTATTCCCACTTCATTATCTTTTTTCTTTTATTTGGAACCAATTTCATGAAAGTGAGATTTAGTCTGAGGGCAAACTAAACTTGTCATTAGCCTGGTGTAGCAGTACTCCAACTTCTTTAGTTTCTTCCATACCACCTGGGAAATCAGTCTAGCAACAAGTATTAAAATGAGAGCAGGACTAGATAATATTCTTCAACTTGTGATGGTCAATAAAGGGAAAAAAAAAAATGAAAGAACATCAACATTGTAAACTCAGTCAAAAGCTGTGTTGCTTTAAGCATATCTGTTTTCCCCTCTGTTCTTACGTACAACCAAATAAAAAAAATCACATATGGAATTACAGTATGCAGGAAGCCCAAAAATATGAGTTACAAATTGCATTTCTATATTCTAAGCTTTTGAAGTTATTGTTTGTAAACTTACATTATAATCTAAACAAAAATGTATAAATTTTGAATTTTAACCTTTTTACAAATAATAATTAATTTGCCTCCAATTGGCTCTTACACCTAGGGTCCCGGTTAAATAGGTCAAAAGAATATATAATATAATCCTTTATTTAAAATATAATATTTTCAAAAATTGTAAAAAGAACTTTCAACCTCTTTTAAACCCAGAGTTTGTCTTATAAGGACCTACAGTAAACTCATCCAGTCTTTTCCAGGTTTTGGCAAAACTTAGGCTGGCGGATGGAATAACTGTTTTTGTTTTAATTTGAGATATTTTCTTATACAAAGTCATTCATAGTCGACTCAATGAGTATAGGGCAGTCCAATCTTATGTCTGCAATATAAGCTCACATCATCACCCCTACCCCCCTGTGTTTACAGTTGGTTGAAGCTGTTGTGCTGATACGCTACGTATTGTTATTTTTCCTTGTTTGACTTCTGTCACAGGGAATTGCTTGCGACAGAAGTCTTGAGATTTAAGGACCTTATTCCAGGAGTCCAATGGTTCATTCAGATAAAACTGTGCAAACACCTGGGATCATGTAGCTGCGTCAGTTCCAATTAAATCCAATGGAAGCAATAAGAGTGTACTTAGTGTCATTTAGAAACCTTTCACGTCCCAGGAGACGTTGCAGAGTGACATGATGTCTTGGAGCGGTGAAATTAGCCTTCTAGCGAAATTTGATAATGGCTTAACATCCAGCTCCATTTTATTTATTTGCAACAGATTCAGTATTTTAGGATATTTTGATAAAAAAAAGCTTTGAAACTTACACATAAAAACCATTCGAAGAGTTGATGATGTCATAAATCATGGAGGATTTCTGCTTGTTGAGCTTCTCCATGGCAGCACTGCCGCCATTGTTCTTGATCCACTCCAGAACCAGACCCATGATGTAGATGCTAAGGTCAATAAAAAGGGTTTTTTTTTAAAGTTAAATAAACAATAAAAAAAAAAAAATCAACCATTTGTAGCTCTATTTTTTTTAATGACTGGGAGCAAAATGCCAAAAAAGAAATAGTTTACATCTCATCTTAAATGAAAATGTGCCTCTTGCTCTTATTCTCGTTCTTATTCACTTTGAAAAGGTTGTTGTACATAAATATAAAGAAATGTGTTAATAAAACAGGCTTCAACTAGGCTTGTTTGAAAATCTGTTTGTAGTACAAGTATTCAATGATACACTCTCGCCCTATATTATAGAAAACTATGTACCTAAAACATGGAGGAGTGTTGTAGAGGGACTTCATTTCAGCTTGCACCTTGTAGTCCAACACAATGGGACACTCCTTCAGAGCGTGGCCCAACAGATCATCTCGTACGATGACTACTGTAACCCCAGCGCAACCAACATTCTTCTGAGCCCCGGCGTAAATGAGCCCAAACTACAGAAAGGCAATACGAGAAGAACCTATTAGACAACAGTCACTTGAAACATAAGAAATATTGTCGGCACGGTTAAAAAGGTCAGCAGAGGAAGGGGGAAATGAGTGAAGTCTGCTTTGCTGTCACCTTTGATACATCTACTGGCCGTGACAGGAAGTTGGAGGACATGTCGCTGACGAGGACCACATCTTTGGTTTCAGGTGTGAAGTTGAACTCCACCCCGTGGACCGTCTCGTTGCAGCAGTAGTACACATAGGAGGCTGAGGGGTTCAGGGTCCAACTGCTGGGGTCAGGAATTTCTGTAAAGTTAAACAAAAAGATTAGTCGATCTAAAATCATTCACACACACTGATGGTGACAAGATGCATTGAATGGAGGATTTTTCCTGCCAAAGACCAAGAGCATATATTTTCCATTTGAGAGCAGGATTTCCTCTACATGCACTCAGCGCTTGTAATGCTCACATTCAAGACTTCTTGCTTTCTCTCAAATATATTCTCTTCTCCGTCAAACCTTTGTTTCTGTTCTCAGATCTAATGCTTCCTGGACAGATATTTTATCCTCTCCTTAACTTCCTTCTCCTCGTGCGCAAACCAGTCTCGACTTGAGTAAGTGTCTCAGACTGGAGTCAGATGGTCGCCTAGTAACCTATGCAGCCAATAGGACGACAGCCTCAGAAAGGGTGCGCTTGTTTTCTTCAACAGAGTTTGCCGTGTAACTGCTTACCGATTATAAAATTGCTATGGAAAAATCTTTCACAGTATTGTAGCCACAGATGTCCTGATAGACAGAAGAAAGGCCTCCATTAGAATGTGTCCCTGAGGCCTCTGACCTCCAACGGCAGGTAAGGAGGGAGACATGTTTTGCCAGGGGACACAATGACAGAGACAGAAGGACCAAGGGGCTCAAACCAGCAACCCATCGGTTACAGGATAAACCTCCCGAACCACCACCATCCCATACAAGGAAGATGCTTTTTGTATCTCTGCTTCTGTCTCCTTGAACCCCAGTCGGCCTCGGTAGATGGCCGCTCACACTGAGCCTGGTTCTGCTGGAGGTTTCTTCCTGTTAAAAGGGAGTTTTTCCTCTCCACTGTCGCTACAAGCACGCTTAATTCAATCAACTGGTTTTCCTTAGATAGAAAACTTTGAATCAATTTGACTGTATGATCTGGTTGAACTATAAAGTGCCTTGAGATGACATGTGTTTTGAATTGGCACTATATAAATAAACTGAATTGAGACTATAGTATCTAATTATTTAAAAAAAAAGTCATTTGAAGAGGTTTCAAGTAAAAATATAATTATCTAGAATGTGAAAACAATTTAAAAAAAAATAAGAATACTAAAGAAAATACTAAAAGAAATCTAAACACGTCTCAAGCTCCATATGTGATTTATTTAAACTCAATTTAATTAAAAATACCAGTTTAGCTGAGATACAGGTTTTATTAATCTTAATCAAACTCCTACCTCTGTTTCTCACAAATGGGTCATTTTTATTCCAGAGACTGAGAGTTTTGTTTTCAGTTTTGTTTTTCCATCACCTGGTTAAAATGTAAATTTTATACATAATCTGCATCACACATCTGCAATTCCAGCTAATTTCCAACCGATTCTGATGGCAAAAAGGTTTTATTTTGAGAACTATGGCTACCATCTCCTATATTATGAGAAAGGCTGATTGAGAATTCTAAATCCTAAAGTTGAAGTTTAGCTTTAGTTTGACTTTTCTTTTGAATTGAAGATGTCTGACCTCTAATCCAGAAGGCGTCTCTAGTTCTGAACATAGCTGAAAGGCTTACGATGTACTGAAGAAATTAAATTGCTTGATTTGTACATATACAAGCCGCACCGGACTATAAGCCGCAGGTTTTTTATGTTTAATGTCCGTCTTTCTATCTCGTACCACTTGCGGTAGAAGTCTGCTTCCGGAGGACCTCCGCATTCCCTAGCGCGCGGCTACCGTACTTGTGTGTTGAAGCAAATGTGACGTCAACATGGTGGATGGTAAAATCCATAGATTTAGGTATTACGATAGTGGCCGTTAGTTGTAAAAGTCCATAGATAAGCCGCATTGTTTTATAAGCCGCGAGGTCGAAAAATGGGGGGAAAATCGCGGCTTATAGTCCGAAAATTATGGTAACTGAATTAGACTTAGACTGAAGTGGATTCTATAGAACTGACCTTTTTATTGTAAAGACGTCAATATTTGCTGTGAAATGGCTCTATACTTTCAATTGTAAGTAATATCAAATTAGAAAATTAAGATAATTCACAAGGATTTCCAATTTCACAAGTATTGTAAAAGAAAAGCATCTCTGAGAACTTAAAAAGACACAGCCATGTGGAATAACCAGCCTGATTCCAGTCTTTTACTGGTGGTTGGTTCTATTGTTGATTACATAACATTTGGAAACGCTCCCAGATTCTGCTGAGGCTCTTTCTGGATGCAGCCTGCATGACAAAAACCAACTTGCCAAAGCTGGAGCCCTTCTTTTCAACTGAGGTTTCAGGAGATTCTATCATCTTGCTTCTAAGCTCAGACAAAGAAACCATGAGGCTTTGCAGGGTGTACGTACTTGTAAAGCTGTCCAGCTTTGGGTGAACAACGTTGACTTTTCCATATTTCTCTGCTTCTTTAGCGGCTTTAGCCGACCACGTGCCAGTAACCAGGTAGTCGGCGCACCTATCCTCTTTGAGGCCGATCAGGTTGAGGGGGACGGCGCTGAACTGTCCGGAGCCGCCACCCTGCAGAAACAACACCTTGTAGTTGTTTGGGATATCTCTGTGAAGACAGAGGTTATCGAGTCACAACACTGTGGCCAAGATTACATTTACAGACTAAAACAGCTGTTATTTTTATTTTACTTTATTTACGATTATTCTACAATCAGTTTTTCAGTGGTCTCTGGAAATCAGATAAGAAGTCACACCTCGCACTGATTCTCAATATAGTTTACATACAGATTACTGCTATTTTGGATGGATGGATGGATGGATGGATGGATGGATGGATGGATGGATGGATGGATGGATGGATGGATGGATGGATGGATGGATGGATGGATGGATGGATGGATGGATGGATGGATGGATGGACGGACTATTGGATGGATGGATGGATGGACTATTGGATGGATGAGAGGATGGATGGATGGACTATTGGATGGATGAGAGGATGGACGGATGGATGGATGGATGGATGGATGGATGGATGGATGGATGGATGGATGGATGGATGGATGGATGGATGGATGGATGGATGGATGGATGGATGGATGGATGGATGGATGAGTTGATGGATTAATGGATGGATGAGTGGATGGATGGATGAGTTGATGGATTAATGGATGGATGAGTGGATGGATGGATGAGTTGATGGATTAATGGATGGATGAGTGGATGGATGGATGAGTTGATGGATTAATGGATGGATGAGTGGATGGATTAATGGATGGATGAGTGGATGGATGGATGAGTGGATGGATTAATGGATGGATGAGTGGATGGATTAATGGATGGATGAGTGGATGGATGGATGAGTTGATGGATTAATGGATGGATGAGTGGATGGATGGATGGATGAGTTGATGGATTAATGGATGGATGAGTGGATGGATGGATGAGTTGATGGATTAATGGATGGATGAGTGGATGGATGGATGGATGAGTTGATGGATTAATGGATGGATGAGTGGATGGATGGATGAGTTGATGGATTAATGGATGGATGAGTGGATGGATGGATGAGTTGATGGATTAATGGATGGATGAGTGGATGGATTAATGGATGGATGAGTGGATGGATGGATGGATGGATGGATGGATGAGTGGATGGATTAATGGATGGATGAGTGGATGGATGGATGAGTTGATGGATGAGTGGATGGATGGATGGATGGATGGATGGATGGATGGATGGACTATTGGATGGATGAGTTGATGGATGAGTGGATGGATGGATGAGTGGATGGATGGATGGATGAGTTGATGGATTAATGGATGGATGGATGGATGGATGGATGGATGGATGGATGGATGGATGGACTATTGGATGGATGGATGGATGGATGGATGATGGATGGATGATGGATGGATGGACTATTGGATGGATGAGTTGATGGCTGAGTGGATGGATGGATGAGTGGATGGATGGATGAGTGGATGGATGGATGGATGAGTGGATGGATGGATGAGTGGATGGATGGATGAGTGGATGGATTAATGGATGGATGAGTGGATGGATGGATGGACTATTGGATGGATGAGTTGATGGATTAATGGATGGATGGATGGATGGATGGATGGATGGATGGATGGATGGATGGATGGATGGATGGATGGATGGATGGATGGATGGATGGATGCTCTTACAGCAGCTCTCTCAGCAGGCTTTCTGACTTGTTGATGATTTTGTTGAAGTCTGCTGATCGATGGCTCATCTCTGGTTTAGGAGAGAATAAAACGCAGCAAAATTAAAGTCTGTTGTTCGCAGTAGCAGAGCCCACTAAACTGTTTAATAAAGCATGTATTTAGTTGTACTTCAGGTCAATTCACAAGACAACATGATGAAAATAAGTGTTTACAAGTAACTTGGGTCACTAGTATCTTCTTCTCATCAAACTCAAGGGAGAGAAAACATGTATTCATCTGATTAGGTATAAAAAATATTTTTTTCTTTAAAGGCATATCATCCTGCCCTTTTTTCCACTCCAGATTAGGATTTAATGCTCCAAAGAAGTAGAACATTTAGACCCACCAAGAACGCTGATCCCAAGGCCGTTGAAGCTGAGAAGCTCCTTCTGAGCTTGAAGCAGCACCTGCAACACATCAAACATAAATTATCCCTCTTCACAGCAAATTTTGATCTATGTTATCGGTATACAGATTTACAGTAAAACATTTCTAGCAGCTAAAAAAAGGTTGATTAAAATGTGCACTTAGAAGCTAATGTTGATTACTAGAAAGGAAGTTTAGCATGTGGCTAAAATTAACAGGGGTGTCCCCATTCAACTTTTCAGCTCCGAAATGATATCAATATTCCAGCTATAGGTATAGATCAATAGCAGAATTACTTTAAATACTTATTTTGTAGTGTAAGGCAAAGCAAGTGCAACTTGGGCAAGAGTAAAAAAGATAAAAGAGAGGACTCAAGTAGCTCATCATAACATCTGGCATTAAAAAATGTAATAAAGTCAGATCAAAATGTAGTTATTTGCAAATGCTGGTATTTAAAAAAAAACATATTACATTATTTCTAACGTAAAGAAAATAATTTTATTACTGATTCATTTAATTTACTTTTAGAAATAAAAAGGTGATTGAATTGAAACTTATGAAACAATTACCTCCAGTGATCATATTTACTATTTAACGTATATTAGCTTGGCTTCAAATTTCATGGTAGGTTCAGGTAAGCCTATAAAAAAATAATAATAATGATTTTGACACGAACTTTAACTGTCGTCTTAAGGCTGAAGCACTTACAAAACAAACAGGCTTGTTCGTTACTCGGTTAAGTTACTTATGATGAATAGAGTAGCAACCCATCATAAGAGTAGTGATACACATTTCATAAGCTTTCCAAAAAACAAACAAAACAAAAAAATCTGTGGTTTCTTCTTCTGCGCTGGTGGTTTCTCTGCCATCTAGCGGTTGGATGTTAAAACTGCAAGCCAGTGAAGCACAATAGAAGAGGCAGGTTTCCACATGGATGAATGGAGGCTGATGCAACTCAGCAAGCAGTTTTCAGGCTGATGAGCTGCCAGCAGCTGCCAGACACTAAACCTAACAACCTTTTTTTATTATTATTTTTTTTTATGCTTAATCACAAGAGAAAACCTACAGATTTTCCTGAGGAATGTCAGCCATCCAGATTGGAGACAAGGAGAAAAAAATATAAAAAAAAGCTTCAATATCGATAACATTTAGATGAGCAGATCAGAATATAAATATGTAAAAATATATTTTTTTTAAATACCTAATAGATACGTATAAACCCCACACATGTCACCGTACGCTAGCTTATGTGTTTTACATCTTTTTTTCACAGATTTACGGGACAAGCGCAAAGAAAATAAAGAGCTTCAAACTTACAGACTGCGGTAGTTTTGCCGGTCCAGCTCCAAAGTTTATGGTTTGGGTTTGCTCCATGGTGCAAGCAAGCTTACTGTAGGCTTCACAATGCTGAGATTTTATAAGCTGCGCCTCTGTCTCCCACACTGCTTGATGCTTGTGTAAAATGAGGCGTTCAGGGGACTCTCGTAACTTCAACAACTAGATCCGGTTTTTATGAAAAAAGCTTAACCAAGAAGATAAGATACAAAGTTAGGTTCACACAATAATTCTCATGTGATGTGTAATATATAGTGCAGATTCAGTCAAATAAAGTACAAGTTCCCCTCCAGAGTTATTTATGTCTAATCTTTTTGAGTGACTGTGAATTACATAAAGATCAGATGGCACATTTTATTAGTAGAGGTTGCAGGCCTCTGCTGTGCCTTGAAAAACAGGTTTCTCTTGTCTTTTATATTTATATATATAATATATATATATATATATATATATATATATATATATATATATATATATATATATATATATATATATATATATATATATATATATATATATATATATATATATATATATATATATATATATATATATATATATATATATATATATATATATATATATATATATATATATATATATATATATATATATATATATATATATATATATATATATATATATATATATATATATATATATGATGGATCTTAGAAGTCTTTTTGGGGATAGAAATGCAAATACCAACCAGAAAGAAATGAAATTAAGAAGTTCCAATGTTAAAAATCAGATGTGTGCAACTCTCTTATTCAAAAGGTTATGTAAGGATGCTCTTTTTTATCTATTGATGTCTGGAAAAGTTCTTTGCTACGTGAGGCAACAAACCAGGTTTACTTTGATCTTTTGAAACCACCTCAGTGAAGTTTATCTCTTCTTGGTGCCAAACCCTTTCTGATTGGTTGGTGTTACTGACATGGAATCCTGTTTAATGTATAGTGTTATGTAAAATGCTTTGCTTTGACTTAGTGTTTCAGATCCACAAAATTATTTTAAAAAGATCAAGTAGTAAAATACACTGTGAAGTTTTAAAAACTATTTTTTTTTTTTATTAGGGGAAAGTTCTATCCAAAGCAACCTGATTCCTTGTGAAAAAGTAATTGGCCTTTAAACCTCTAAACTGGCTGTTCCACAGTTCACAGCAACAACTTCCATCAAGAAGCATTGCAAGGCATCTCAGTGGGATTTAGGTCCAGACTTTGACTAGGCCACTCCTTCATTTTGTTATGGTTTCTCTGATCCATTTTACATGCAAACTTCTATGTGTGCGGCATAACTTTATTGCACTTAAGCTAAAGGTGATGAATGATTCATTTTCTGTTTAATGAATTTCTGGGAAAGAGAAGAATTATTTGAGTTTTGCTGATTTGGTTTCAGCGAAACGCCAATCACTACCTCACACACAAATGAAATAACTGTTATAATAAATCAAAATTGTTGGTTAATCAGTTCATGGTTATTTTGTTACCATGCAGATTAGATAAAGCCAAACAACAATATGAATGATCTCCAAGATTTTATCATAGGTGGTTGAAATAAGCTTTAGGAGAAATACAAAGTCATGTTGTCTAGGTCATGTTTCAGTATTAAAACCAACTTTCTCGATTTGCTTAGCATTCTTTTTGCTTAGATGGGCTCTAATCATAATTAAAGATGTGAAACGGTCCTCTACATACAGCTGGAAGATGAAGGAGAAACATAGAAAATTTCCATCATGTATTGATAAACAATAGCTTGTCAATGGAGAGGACTTTTAAACAGTAAACAAGATAAGTCAGACCCACATTTTTAATGTGGAATTTAAAGAATGCAGTTGAATTATTAGTGTAAAGGACAAACCTTTTGGTTCTGATACATTAGCTAAAGCCTAATTAAAGAATAAAACTAGTAATAATAAGGCAAGAAATGTTAGAAAACTTAAACTCTATCTTGCTCAGCATACCTTGATACAGGTAACAGGTCATTCACTTAAAATAAAATCCCCCACATTAGAACACTAAACTCTTCGAGCTTTCAAACTCACTGCATCAGTTTGTGCCAGTCAGGAAAAACATGACAAGAATTAAAGACTCGTTCAGCTCGTGAATCTCATTATAGGCTGCAACAGGATTATCTCTTCCAAAATGCTCACATGATAAAGATGCTGCAGGCAGAAACTTATAACCGAGAGTAGATAGATCTCATCTCTAAAATCATCTTACTATAAAAAAAAAGTTTGTCTGCCTTAAGATTGCTTCTGTTATCATATTTGTCAATTTTATTTGTTTGGGGGGGAAAAAATGTAGTACCAGGCAAATATAACCTGAGCAATCAAAAACAAAGTAAATATAAAACTACTTGAATTAATCAACTTAAATGTTAATTTAAGAGTTGATTTAAAGCACCCTGTTTTAATTTTCTTAAGTCAAATTATTTTAACGTGATACTGCTCTAACTCAGTCCATCTCTGATCATGAAACAGTGAAGAAAAACAAACCAAACATGGACGAGAAACAGCACCTCTAAGAAGCTGCATGGTTCTAGACTAGTGATGTTAAATCTGGTGAGTGTGCCTTTCCATTTAGAAGGATAGTTTATGGTAGATATACTGTGTATAACAGGACCCACTCTCTCTGAAACTAATGCATTTTAAAGCTTTACTTTTATTTTTTATTATTTACAATCTCAACAAAACAAGCAAGATTTACATTGACATATTAAGACGTTTTAGCAGCGCTCAAAAGGAGTAGGTAGAAGTTCAAGACCCCCTATTACAATATTCATGTCATCTAACATATCAGGTCTTTTGATAAAAGGAATCATTACAAATCACACAAATTCAGTCACACGGATTTCATGTGATGTTTAAAAGCAACTCAGTTGACAGGATATGAGATTTTTTGGGGAGAGTAATTATTTCTTCTGGCAAAAAAGGAATTACTCTAAGGTTAGGATTCATTCAGTGATAACCTACTGAGCCTACTGGTAGGTAGGAGCGACAATCTGAAGCCATTCCGTGTGACTAATAACCGCTAACAACCGCCATTTAATAGTGTGATAGCGTCCAAAGAGGCTGTTGAAAAGCCCTTCTCTTTGTCACATTATTCCACAATATGTTTTACAAAAAGTCAAGGGAGCATCAGGATGTTTTTTGTTTGTTTCTGTTAAATATTAGATATCTTTGTTAATTTTAATAAGAAGGGTTCTTCTGGGTTTTTTGGTGACCTCCTGGATGAGGCGTTAATAAACCTGGTTACTGTGAAGGCTCATCTTTATTCCATGTTTTCTCAGTTTTTGGAGAAAAGCCCTCTGAGTCCTAAAGATTTACTCTGTCGCCCTCTACAGACTGATAGATGTAAATTCATTTATTTTTATCTGTTCTGTAATTTCTTTTTAACAGGAACATGATGTGCTTTTTGATAACTTCTAGCCAAATTCATGAGGACAGGCTGATTATTTGAATAGGAAATTACTTTTTTCCTCAATTGGTTGGTTCTGATTTCTTTTTTGCTTTAATAGTTCAAAGGACCATTTCATATTTACCCATGCTTGTTGTCACAATAGAAATATAACAATTAAGTGTAATGTAATTTTTCTTTCACGGCATGTTTAATAAAGCTCTGCAAGGACTCATTTGGGTTTGGGTCTCCCTCTTTGTTAGTGTCTACATTCCCCACTGTGACTTTGCTTTTCATGTAGAGCAAAACAATGGCAGGAAAGGCATGTTTAAGAGCTTTTCTGAAGTTATGGTACTAGAAACATAAACCGGTGGAGGAATCACAGTGAAATGACCCAGAATCTTTAGCCTCCAGATATAGAATATTAAACGAAAGCCAAAGATCAAGCTTTCCTTTGACGTGTGAAGCAGCAACTCCAAAAAAGAACCGTATTTCCTAAGCTTCTCTAACACACATAATTCAGTAAGGTCAATAAAGTTAGACATGATTGAGCAGAAGAAAAGAAAATGCTGTATGACTTTTTTCATAGTCTCAAGAGAAGCTTAAACTGTTTGATATAGTTTATATAAGTCAATTCTTTGTAGAGTCACCATTTGCCATCATTACACATGAACTTTTTTAACAAGACAACATGCAAGATCCCATTTCTCCTCGAGCATGCTGTTTAGAAGTTGCTGTTTGCATCACTCATTAAACGCTTACTTTCCAAAAGATTTGCAATTTTTCCACTATGTCAGACTCACCACCGGTAAATGAAAATGGGGATGAGCATGTAGGACGACCTTACATAAACATATCACCAGAATGATTGACAATTAGGAGGACCATTTATTTTGATGATCCACCTGGAAAAAGAACATCCTCCACTTTACCTTTAATAACAGTCGATGATATAAATTGAACATCACAGTCATGCAAACAGAAGAAATGAAGGGCTGAATTTTTCTTTTTAGCATTTTTATTTACATAAACATATTGCACAGGTAAATGATTTGAAGAGCACACAGTCAACACAAACAATCTAGTCTCTGATGAGGCTAAGATACTACCAGAAACCTTCTGTACTCTTACATGAGGGATACATGTTTTGTGCGTTTGGTGGTTTTGTGCGTATTTGTTGTTCAAGGAATTTACATGTTTTTTTTCTATTTACACACATAAATACAAACCTAGCAATGTTATAAACTGATAAAACAGCTTCAAGACACTCAAACCCCTCTGGCAATTCTGTAGACTAGCCTGGAGATCAGGACTCTGGTACAGTGCTTTTATCAGGCAGCTGATGTTGGTTTACCACCATCATACATCCTAATAGTTTCAAGGAGTAAACCGTCTACAACTCCGAGTTAATAAGCACATTCTTGCACCATTTTCATCTGCATTAGTTGTTAGATTTGACAAAAAAAAAAAAAAAAATTCTGTGGACTAAAACCAGTTTGTTTCTTAGAACCGAATGTTTTCTCAAACAGAACTGAGAGCAGAGAAGAGCTTTTAAACAGAAGAGAAACTTCAACCTAAAATAACTTCTGGCTTTGGCTACACATCGTTTGGAAATCTTTGAGGGCAAACAGAAATTCAGAGCTGGACTGATCTGGTACGCATGCGTGAGTGGTCTGCAGAAAGATGAGGCCGGAACCGGTGGGGTGTCCTCATCTCGAAGATTTCCTCACACCCAACTTCCTCGTTGGCATTCTCTCTGTCTTCAAGTCTGGGTTGGAGGCCAGGGAAGGAGCAGGGGAGGGACGGTGAAACAGCGACGCTCAGATGTTGAAGCTTTCCCCACAGCCACACGTGCCTTTGATGTTAGGGTTGTTGAAGATAAACTCACTGGACAGCTTTGACTCCACAAAGTCCATCTCAGTTCCCAGAAGGGTGAGCTGAGCCTTCTTCTCAATAAACACTCTCACACCTGAAAGAAAGCCCAATGAAACACTCAGAGCATGTAGTACTGCAATTAATGGTTTTATTACAAAGCTAAATTACTTTGAAATCCTACAAAACCCAAGCTGTTGTTTCGTTATAGTAGTTTAACATGAAATTTCTATTTGTGTTATACAAAAAGACCATTGCATCTTTTAGAGAGAAGATCGACTCAAGCGGCAAAAAAAAAAGTTTATTCAAGCCAACTCAATTTCTCCTACAAATGCACCATAGAGGTATCTTCTTAAAGCTGATGACAGATCAGAACCAAAAGGGAGGAAAAATAAAGTTCTCACAGATGATAACTAATGATACTGTGATAATTATGCAACCGTTAGCATGTGGCTACAACCCACTTGATTCATTATATATAAATATTTTTGTATACATACTGAATAGATTTAAAAAATAAAACATTCTGGAGTTGCTGATGCTGCAGGACAAAATCTGCTAACCATGTAGGTGACGTCACTGCTTCCAGGCTGTTTTTAAAGCAACAGTTTTGCAGGCGAGACACTTACCATCCTGTAGCACTTCCTCATCTGATTTCTCTCTCTCTGTTGTGTATTCCAGAGTGTAAGTCAGCCCATTACAGCCGCGTGTTCTCACTCCCACCTTCAAACCAATCTGTTGATGAGGCAACACAAGCATATCGACACACTCTGTTGTTAAAATGCTAACATTTAAGAAAAGAACAACTTTTCCATCCACTAAGGATCATTGATGATCCTGTCTCAGTGTTTCTATAAACACGACATTTTGAGCTAAAATCCATTTATCAAGTGAGTGTTGTCTCCTTCCACAGGACACAAACTGATAGTTTTGCTTTAAGTAAATCATATCTTAAACAACTGTATTTCCTAACCAGGAATAGATTTAATTGAGGCGATCTTCAGTCAATCTGTGAAACTTGTTGCTTCCTTTTAACTGCATAAAGCTAAAACCAGTTTATCAAAGCCAACCTGACAGAGCAGAGGAAAGATAAACTGTCTCTCTGATAAAAGCAAAACCAAACAAAAGTTGCAGTCAATCAGTTTGTTTACTCACATATTCTGGTTTGTCCTGCAGCAACAATCGGATTTTGCTCACAGCAGCAGGAGTCTACAAAAAAGAAAACAATCAAAATAAGGGGTGAGCCAGAGCTAGTGTACATGTTGGGTTCAGAATGAAGCATCTGGAACTCTACAGAGACATACTGACACATATCTAGGTTATAACATCAGTTTTTACTCCATTTGATACCTTTCAATTGACTGACATAACACACACGACCTAAAACTTGTCTGAATTTTTAAGCATCAGCTGCAGAGGAACAAAACCACCTGTGTTATCACACGTGGAAGGGATTTGGGGCTCAATGTGGACACACATGGGCCACTAGGTGCTGATCCCTTTAAACCTCTCAGGTCTGTGCTGCTGCTTTTAAGCATGCAGACCAGAGCTGCAAAAAGCACTCTACTGCAGTCATCACTGCAAATGATTCATGTTTTCATGCTCTACAAAGCAGTATGGTGCACTTATTTGTATTTAAACGTAAAATTTTATTTAAACCTTATTTGGGGGGAGCTGTTGGCCTAGTGATTTAGAGCAGTTTTTGTGCTCTGAGAAGGTTGCAAGTACCCGGTTTGATTCCCACAGCCTGCACTCCGTCCCTCAGTAAGACCCTTAACCCCGCACTGCTCTCCAGGCACCGCAAGATGGCAGCCCACTGCTACCCAGTTCTCCAGTGAGAGATCAATAAAGTTCAATTATTATCATTATTATTATTTAAAGGAATAGTACACCCAAAACATGATTAGCTACGGAAGCCGGCAGACCAAACCAGATGAAAGTGCGCATTCAGCGTCTGCTCTGCCAATAATGCAAGCGTAGAAGAAGAAATGTGCTGTTTACCTGTGCAAAGAAAGAAACAACAAAAGAAAAATGTCTGAGGACTTCAGTGTTGAGGAAGAGCATGAGTTCTTTGCCGAGCTGAATGCGCTGGTTTGGTCTGCCAGCTTCCGTAGCGTCGTGAACGCGCATGTGCGCGCTTTCAGGAAATCCTATACACTACTGTTTATGCTCTAAAAACATTCTAAATGACTTCGTTTCGAGTAAATTCTGGATGCTACCCACTCAGGACACTTGGAATACATTGGACGAGCAGTATGGAGGAATATTGACACGTTTTTTGTGGACTTTTATGGACCTTTCTGCCTCGGGCGCTGGGCACCTCCATTATTTGAATGTCAGCAGACAGCAAGAAGCCTCCCAGATCTCCAGATGCATTTGAGGTATCAAAAAAGTACTCCAGAGTGTTGTTCAGCATGGGGGTGAGTAGAAAATGAAGGCTAATCATGTTTTGGGTGTACTATTCCTTTAACCAGGAAAGTCCAATTGAGATGAAAATGTCAAACAAATAAAGAAAACGAATCATTTCAAGTGTTCACCAGTTCACTGACTCTGGAAATAAGTTCAGTTAAATTCCCAGGATTTTTGTAACACACTCCATGAAGAAGGAGCCAAGTAAACAGCAGCCCCTTTTCCTTCCCCAGTTTCTCTGCAGGGAATTGGAGCCGACAGCGATTAATGGGCATTAATCAACACAATGAGTAAGAATCCACCTTTCTCTGTGTAGCAACAAGATAAAGGGGGAAACAAATGGAAATAAAATGGGATTTTATCCCCAATTTATACTTTCATAGCCAAGTTAAACAAAAATATCATGACCTGCTGTTTTTTTCCCCCCTTCTAATATCTTGCAGGCCTAATAGACAGACAAAAAAGTGTGACAGCCTCAAGTCTTTTCATAACATCACAATTTAAGAGCCATTTGAAGAACTTCTGTAACAAACGCTCTTGCTGATCCACAGAAGCTTCCTCAAAGATCCCCCCTCCCCCATTCTGGATCTGACTGTGTCACCTCTCATGATGCAGCATTTACTTAAGGACTCTTTATCTTCTGAGGCCGTTGGAGAAACACATTATCTCGCTGTTGGCAGAGCGCCTCAGCTGATCTTCTCCATCAGCGTCTTTTCAAACCCACCCATTTCAATCCAACCATGACAGCACTGACTGTTTACTTTTCGTCCCATTTCACTAATAATGCCACATTGGGGTCGTAGTTAGACAAATTAAGGCAATGCTATAAATCACTGTATTGTATTAAGTTTAATACAAATGCTTCAAACACTGACGTTATAAACAATGAACAACTTTAAAACATTTGGTGTTTGGATATTTTTTGTTAACGAATAATATGAACATAGATTTAGAAAAATTGAAAAAGTGAACCTCTTAATTGAAAACGTTTTCTAGAGGAAGGAAACCCCTAAAATGAACCCTTTATGCTAAACCAAATTAAAATATAGCAACAAACCAGTAGGAATATAAAATACTATTTAACCAGATGTGAACATCTGGCTCTATATATATAAAACTCTTGCTTTCTTTGGTCTGTAGTTCCTATACAAGTAAAACTTGAAAAATGGCACTGATTAGGGCTGAATGACAGACCAAAAAATATCTCTACATCTTCAAGCTGAATTGCAACAAAGGATATTTATCTCTATTCATTTTTTTTAATTAAAGTAACTATAAAAAGAAACATCTAAAAAAATTTCAAACACAGAGCTGCCGACAAACATGAACAGTGAGTGAAGAAATTAATTTATAGGCATATATTAAATGATAATTACAACAGAATGTACACCAAGACAAACAAGATACTCTCAGCTTATATCCTCTTGGTAAAAATGTATCTCCAAAGATTTATACTGATAATTATAATGGGTTAAAATATTCCAATACATAGATTGGACTTAGAATAAGTTCACCTACTTTAATAGACTAAATTTGTCAGACAACACAGTAAGGCTACAGAAATGATAAAAATAACCATCTAATCGGCAGCTGAATACAGTGCAGTATTTGCAGCAGTGTGGACAGTCCACCATTACTGTCAGATATGCTGAAGAAAGCCAAGCCAAAGAGGTGAGGCTTTCAAGTTACCATCTGCATTCATGACCCTTGGTCATGTGGAGTGGGTAATGACCAAAAGAATGAGTTTAAGCAACTGAAATGAGCTGCCTCCACAGGGTGGAGGACGGATATGCCTTCGGGGAGGAGGGGGATGAGATGCTCACAGGAAAAAGGGCAGCTTGTCCATATCAAAAAGAATCTGTAGCAGTGGTTTGTTGATTCAGTATATGTTACCATGGGTAATTCCATTGGTAATGCTTCAGCTCAAATTGCTGGGTTTGTTATCATGCAGTTAGTTATTCCACATTAAACAACTTTTAAAGCCAACTTTAGTATCAATTGAAATACATTTTTTTTTTACTGAAATTCCTTTTATTAGAAAAGGAATTGAGTTAGGAAGCATCTTTGATTCGTGTCCTCCTTAGCTGCTTTTGTTAAGCATAAAATGCTTGCAGGAAATGCACCTTCACATAGAGCTTCTACTGTCCAAGTCAATATAGACCATATCAATAACCAAAAGGGGGGGAAACAAATATAAGGAAAAGAAAAAAACATGAAATAAACTCACATAGCATGGGAAAAAAAACACATATGTCTAAAATATGAGCTATCTTTGATCTTAACAAATTTGACCTGAAAGTTCTTTAGAGCAGAAGACTCTTAAAAGAACAGTTGCTGAAAGGTTACCCCTTATGTTGAAATTTCAGTTAAACTTTTAACGCAAAGTTAAAATAATCATTTATGCCTTTTAAGACATCTTTTTATTTCACTTGACTTTTTGAGCTATGTTGAGATTTTTAATGAATCTAATGAACAGGATGCTTTCCATGAAAGCTGTTTACAATGTGCTCCAATGGAAAATGCTTTAGAGGTAGAGACAGGTTTTACCACAAAAGGCTGGGAAATGCCTCAGTCTGTCCCCTGGTGAGCTGGAGGGTGTTGCTGGGAAGCGGGAAGTCTGGGGTCTTTGTTTGACCTGGTCTGAGACAGGCTGTAAAATATGGATATTTGCCGTTTTGTTCCTACTTGCCGACCAAGTTGTTTTGCAGATCCTTTGAAATGTGGGGTTATGATTTCTTGTCACTGGAAATCGTTTAGGACCTTCCATTCAGAGGTTTTGGCAACAGTTGTATATGCATGCATTTCAGTTTATAAATATGTGTGTGTGTGTGTATATATGGTCTTGTTTTACCTACAATGTGAGGGAAGTATTTAGAAAAATGTCCTACATGCGAGGACTTACAGATACATATGGGGACATTCAACTGGTCCCTATATGGTAAATTTCTGTTCTTTGAGTTGTTGTTAGGTTTATGACTAAGGTGTGAATTCAGTTTAGCTAAGGATTAGGTACATCTTGGTAATAGTTAGGGTTAGGCCATATAGAATTAATGCAAGTCAATGAAATGTCCCAATATGTCATGAAAACAAAGCTATTTGTGTGTGTGTGTGTATTTTTTTCTAATTTACTAGATATTACGTCTGTGCTCGAGTAAGGAAAAAAAAATGAGCAAACATTTATGTAGCTTCTCAAAGTAAAAGCAAAACATCCCCATATAAATAGCTGCTGTTTTCTTTAAAATTATTCAACTGGGGGCTAAATGTCTTGGACATTTTTTAATGCAAAATATAACAGCTTAAATGCATATCGCCACTTTGTATTTCGCAGTTATTGAAAGATTAATTCAGTTTGAAGACATTTGGTTTAATCAAACATAATGCTTTCTATAAGACGCATGTTACAAACAGCTATCCATACAGCAACTATTTATGCTGATCGAGTCCTTTTTAGAGTTAAAAGTAGCTATAAGACCAAAGTAACAATGTTCTACACATGTGTCTGCTTGATAAGCTACTGACTAATAAAGAAACAATGACAGTTCAGTAAAGAAAGAGAAAAACATCAGCAGATATAACGAGTCAGCGATGGTTAGCTTACTTAGCTAACTTACACAACTGACACCACACTGACAGACGCCCGCGCCGAGCACCACACCTTTCCAGAATCACACACTAGTTACAAAATGTGTTCTACGTTGAGTTTCAAAGCCCGTGCGTTTAACTCACCAGTGTTAAAGCCGCTCTAGTGGCTAAAATCTTTCTTTTATTAACCGCTCGGACGGTCGCTCGCATCAAGGAGGCAGACATGTTGATACTACTAAAAATCATAACAATGATTTGCGCAAGCGTGTAAACACGTAGAGGAACGCCCTCCAAAAATCCGCGATACATGATTGGCTAAACATTTGACAGGCAGGCAAATTAACCAATGATCGTAGGGGGATAGATCTAGAAAGACGGGCGTCATTTTCAGTTATGTAACCTCTTTTATACATTCCTTATGTACTTTAGCTGTAATTTATTTTTATTCTGACATATGCTATGCTGCAATATTGTGTCGCTTCGTATTTTTATGCAAACGTAGGGGCTCATAATGAATAGTTGAAGTTGTCAACAGAAAAGCACACCCTGGCCAACGTCATTTTTTTCCTGCCTGTTTTTGTATTTCGTGCCGAAAACAAAAAGTTCCGAACTCTGTGTTCCCGTCACCGTCTAATTGTGTCCAAGGCGTGCCACCGTACACACAACAAAGGGAATTTAAAGACCGATTGTTTTTTTGTCAGCTTGAAAAAAATGGACACAAATTAATAATACTTTTAACCATACGTACAATCAAATATACTCTAAATATCAAGTAACATTACTTATCCTGACTAACTGCACAAACTACAGACTGGAAGTAAACATAAACTGGAAATGCCACGAATATAAGACGTTCACTGTTTCACCAAACTGTACCACAGCTCCATAGTAAAGTAGCTGGTATTATTGGTCTACTTACCTTTGGAAAAATACCTAATAATAAACCTCAATTAAAACTATACTGCAACTGACGTCACATTTACCAAATTTGAACAAAGCAGACCATTTTTATTGATCCTGCAAATTTTCGTTTAAACATCACTCTATATAATCATTTATTAACATATGTTGTACACCAATTAAACATTATAATGTTAAGCTATCCTATGCATACCACTATATAACCTTTCAACCATGCTTCAAAAACCAAAAAGTTTTTACTTTTGTCTTGAATTTAATGAAGGTTCAAATAGGGCTCGGTGGCAGGTCATAAATATATGGATACAGCAATATTAAGACTTATCCCAGCATTGATAGTGAACAGAAAAGAAAATAGAACTGCCACATATGTGTTAAGCATTTTCTTACATTTTTTACGAACTGAATGTTGCATATTTTTTTAGGCAAGCTTCAAGTCTTTTTGGAATTGCTTTTAGAGCTATATTTGTTGGTTTGACCTGTATGTAGTTGATGTATTATTTTATTGTTATGTCCATAGTGCAATATCTAACAACTGTATTTGAAGAAAAAACACTGCACAAGAGGTTGTAAAATTATGTTTTATTTTCTTTCCCCAGACAAAATCGAGTGTTAACCAGCCTTTCCTTCCTATATCAGGACTCCTTAATTACACATGAAATGCTTTGATAATTTCAGTGCATCAAAACAATTATAAAAAGGCTGGTATTAAAATAAACTCAAACAATAAAACTCATGAAAACAAAAGCTTTGTTTTAGAAAAATGCAAAAATAAAAATGGCATTTTTTGTATTTAATAATTAACTGTTGGCAGGGAAAAATGAACAAGCAGCAAAACAAATTGAAGGGCTTGGACCCTCACAGTGCAGCTACCAAATCTGTGGTATCCATATAAAAGGGCCTGAAATTCAGACCCATGCCGGTCTGAAACTTTTTCCCTCAGCAACGTTATTCCATTTCCAGTCATGAGTGAAGAAACAGTGTTGGAAGATTAGCCTCTGTCTTCGCATGCAGGCATATAAGCGACGGCGTAGCTCTCACAGCAAATCCTTTAATTTTTTTTCCCAACCCAACTTGATTAATCATTCTAGGGGATTTATACAGAAAAAAATAGGCCTCATTGAAGCACAAAAATGAGGCAGAATTTAAAATATAAGGTAAGAAAATAAAAGAACCCCATACAACTAAACATTGCCATTAAAATCTTCATCAAGTTATTATTAAACGCCAATAAAAATATGAATCTCTAGCAGACCAGAGCAACATTTTATAATATAGTGATTTTACATTGAGATGGTGTTTGTATAAACAACTGAGTTAAGGCATTAAAAAAACAATGCCAATCTTCTTCGTTTTCATTTTAGCAGAAAACCTCTGCACATAATATCCTAGTATTTTTTAACACTAAATCTTTGAGGATTACGGGAGGCAGATTTGAAATTGCCATTACTGAATTGGTTTGCAAAGAATAAAAAAAAAATTAACAGAATGAAAACAAAGACACTGGACAGGTATAATGGCTTCTCTTGGTAAGAAATAAAAGTTTTAAAAGCACCTCTAAAGAGGAAACACACACATAAAAAGGCCCTTTTTGGCTTCAAGTCTCAATGTCCAGGCTTTGGCTTTTTAATGGGCAACCAACAACCCAATAATATCATCCAGATTCAGGGAGTATTCCCTAAATAAGGGTTGTAGTCTGTGGAGACAACAGAAATCCTTCGTTCTGAGAATCCAGTGGGCACTGTCACTCTTCTGGGCTTTTCTTGGGACCAAAGCGGCTTAAGTTTTGACGAGCTAAACTACCTAGGATGACACCAGAAAGCAGAAATTTTGATTTTTTTTTTTAGGAAGTATGATTTTTATCCAGATTAAACAGACAAATAAAAGAAAGGTAAGATAGCTACATTATCCAGGTCCGTTTACAGTGGCTTTATTTTCACCCCTATAGCCTCGAAAAAGCAATCAACAAATCACGCACTTTTACTGCAAAGAACTTGACTAAACAGCAGACTAATATGCAGAAGTTAAAGCAAAGACCAAGAAATAGAAGCAGGACTATACTCCAAAGTCCTGAGGAACATGGAGGAGTCTGGTGATGGTGCAAATACTCAATGTTCTCATTCTCTCCTCTCACCAACCCTAAACGGGAAAATCACCCAGAATATAGAAATGCATTATTAACCTTTGCAAAGACCGTTGACAGAGGTTATTACTGCATTAATTTAATCGTTCTAAATAGAAGAGCGGAAACTGTGAAATCATGTCTTCAGGATACTGTGACACGCCGTCCAAAGGCTTACCAGATGTCCCTGACCTTTGCAGATGTTTGGGAATTACACCAGCAGACAGACGAGTCACAGCCCATGACTTACACTTCACTTCAAAGAGTGTTTTTTTTTTTTTTTTTAAAGGCAAACAAAAAGATAAAATAAGAATGTTTTATGTGATATTAGCTGTACTGTTATATTAAGGCCACATGCATCATTGCCAAAAGTATTTTCTGGGTTGGATTCACTCCCATATGAACCTGAGTGATGCCCCATTCTTAACATGTCAGGCCACATTTGAATGCTATACGGGCTTCAACTCTTCAGGGGAGGCCTATAACAAGGTTTACAGAAATACTGACCGTGCCAGTCTTATGGGGTTTTAACACCAGTGGGAAAGGAAGTGACTGGAGGAACTGGGATTTATTTTTTGGAGGTTGAGAAAACACTTCAGGCAATAAAGTGTCTGTGGCGGCAGAAATGCACTGGAAATTCAAATACCTGCTTGTGGACTAAGAATTACATTCTGTTGCTTTCTCCTCCTTTCTTCTTGTGCAGATAAGCCCTGAGAAACAGCCACAGGATTACGCAGCAGATCATAAAAGCATATTTTGCCAAAAATATATTCGCCATGATTTGTGATTCAATTCAGGAAACAAACCTGATTCACCTTTTCTCTCCTATTCTTAAGGTGGCCTGACGAGGGGGGGGTTAGGTTTTCCATTTTCACATTACCTGCAACATGATAAAAATAATTAAAGGATGCGAGAGACAGGATGCATAATATACAATGAAAAAATCCTACTCTCCAATGTCACTGATGTGGTAGACTTCGTCAGATCTCTTCTCCTCACACCTTCTGCAGGTTGGACCCAATATTGAATCCATCTTCCAAACACACTGAGCAAGCCTGCTTCTTTTATAAATCTGTTTTAACTACTATTATGTCTGACATATAGCACCATCTCCATCCTAACAGGCACTACTCTTTTCTTTTCAATGTTAATGGAGCACAAACTACTTTCTTGTCCGTAATATCCTTACCTCAGTTCCTTTCAGTGAGTGTCAAAGCATATTTCTATATAATGCTCCTCATTTCCAAAGGCACTGGCATCTCCATTTGACCTTCCTCAGAGATAAAGATTTTTCAACATTCATTAAGGAACAACTAACATTTTGTGTCTACATGCTTCAAGCAGAATCATCAAGTTTGCACATCTGAGGCTATTTAGCACATTTAAAAAAGAAAGCCAGAAAGGAGTGGCTTCTATTGTCCAACCAAGTTAAAAACCTTCAACGTTATGTTGCATTTCAGCTTATAGACTGAATTCACTGTAACCCAGTTATTACAAGGTAGCATAGTTGTCTGTTCCACTAGACTGAAGGTAAATTAACATACACGCCTCTAACTATGTTCCTTGGTAGTTTTTCTGTGTAACACACCACTTTATGTTGTGTTGTGATACTTGTCAACCATATTTCAGTAAAAAAAAAGAATGAAACTAATGAAAATTAGCTAAACTAAGCTACTATATACAAAAAGGAAGGGAAAAAGATGGTTGAAAACCATATTACAGTTTAGCATGGATCTTGTGTTTGAGAACCAAAGTTTATCTGGAAGTATTTTGGATGTGATCAAATTAGCTTTTCACAAATTTAGAACGACTAGAATGTTTCAGGCCAATTCACAATGCAAATACATGATGAATAAAACATTATTTGGCCAAATTAATGTTTTATTAAATAATTTGCTTAATTGGGAACCAGTAACCTTTAGTTGAATTATTGTTTACCCTCTGTAATAGCCAGCAGCAAATAGAAATGAGGATTCAATTAAATTCCTTTTGGTCATAATTTGGTAATGGAAATGTAATGAGCATGTGAGAAAACAAAATAAGACTAACGTTATATCAGTCTTTAAGCCTTCAGCCGATCCAAAATGCTGCAGCCAGGGTTCAGATGAAAATTAAAAAGAGAGATCATATCTCTCCTATCCTAGCTTCTCTTCATTGGTTTCCTATTAAATCCAGAATATAATTTAAAATCCTCACATATAAAGCCTTAAATGGCCAAGCTACGTCTTATATCAGAGATACAATTGTTCCTTATGTTCCTAACAGAGCACTTAGCTCCCAATCTGCAGGTCTACTAGTGGTTCCTAGAATTTCTAAAAGTAGAATGGGAGGTTACCATCCTTGAGAGAAATATCAGCTATGCAGCTGTCATCAACATCTTTGTTTAGAGATGTTTGAGATTGACCGGTTTTTCAGTGTAGTCCTGTTTATCTGACTGTGACTGGCTGGATGTCCTCTCTTCATCCTCTAACATGGGAGCTGGCTCGGAGCTTATCTGCCTGGCTGTGCTTTACCTGGATGGGGCCGCCTATTGTATCTCTGCTTCTGTCTTCGTGAACCCCAGTCCGTCCAGGGAGATGGCGGCTCACACTGAGACTGGTTGTGCTGGAGGTTGCTTCCTGTTAAAAGGGATTTTTTCCTCTCCACTATTGCTACAAGCATGCTTAGTGTTAGGAAGTGCCTTTGAGTCAGTGAGTCGATGCAACTGGTTTTCCTTAGATAGAAAACTGTAATTAATTTGACTGTATGGTCTGGTGAACTGTAAAGTGCCTTGAGATGACATGTGTTGTGAATTGGCACCATATAAATAAATTGAAATAAATTGTGGAAACATTGTTGAAATTTAGCCCCAAGCATATGTTTAATGCTAGGAATATTTGCTAGCGCAACTTTATTTTCTTTAGTTATGTTTGAGTAAGTCTGTATACCTTGCTGAATTGTTTACAATTTATCATTTTTTCAGATGTATTTATAAATTTGATTAATAATCTTACTGCTGTTTCTGTGTTTATATTTTAATGTTGGGTTTGACTTTTTTTTTTTTTACAGGTATAATGCAGGATGTTCCATTTCTGGGTGGATCACCAAAATAAGTGATCCTACCAATTGTCAATCATTCCGGTGGTATGTTAATGTAAGGCCTTCCTAGGTGCTCGTCCTCATTTTCACTTATCAGTGGTGAGTCTGACATAGTTCGAAAAATTGCAAATCTTCTTTAGGAAAGTAAGCTTGAATGAGCGATGCAAACAGAAATTTTTAAACAGAGCATGCACGAGGAGAAATGGGCTCGTGCACGCTCTCGCACAAGTTTAATAGACGTTCCCTCTCGGGAGCGGGTACAGGGTTGTGCATGTGAATTTTTAAAGTGGAGAGGGCAGGTCTTTTCAAAAATTCTCGAATATACGCCACTATACCATTAAGTAGCAGACTTGTTAGTTTCAGGTGTGTTTTCAGTTATTTATAAAAGCCTATGGATTTTGGCTACTTGTGTAAGTCTGGAAAAATATATACATATAACTAATCCCAAAAAAAAAAAAACAAGTTCAAGGTAAAAGCAATTCAAACTGGACGGAGATAATGAATTATGTTGGGAAAGAGGATTTTTGCACCAGACTATCTTTAACTTAAAAATTCAAGGATATTTTCAAGATTAGTGTAAAATTAAATAAACTGACCGAACTCTGTGATACAAAGCTACATATATGTGATTTGTTTCTCTATCATATGTACTTGCTGATTCAATTCACTATAACTTAATTTTTATCTTGCTTTTCCTCTCTGTTTATTTATTCAATAAAAATATCTGTGAGGAAATGAAGGAAACCTCCAGAAACCTGCAGGACTTCTGTAAAGGTGACAGTCCTTCTTGATGTGGGAGCTTGATCCACACAGGAAGCAGCAGCGCATCTCCAGTGCATCTCTTTTCTTCCAGTGTTCCTTCTTGTATCTGACTGGATCCACGAGTTCCTCTGTGGAATCCTGAAAGTGCTCTGATTCCCGTCGTTTTTTCGGTCTAGTAGAAAACAAGCAGTGTCACACAACATTCCCAACAAATGAATTTTTTGATTCACCTAATAAGAAAAGGTACCCACTTGGTGCGCATGGGACAGTCTTTTAAAAAGTGTCCAATCTTGCCACAGACCCGGCAGCAGCGATCGTTGGGTGCTACTTTTCCCTCGGTCAGAACCTCTGGGTCAAAAAAATACTCCTGCACACAAATATTACGATATCACTGCTTCATTTGAGAATCGTTAAATATAAAGCTAGAGTGTCCAGATTTCTAAAACAGACCATTTCAGTGGGATAAATTGGTGGAAACACTCTCACAGGTGTGCCAAACACTCTTCTTCCATTGATGAATGCCTTCATGATAAAGTTTGTCACTATTTTAATGACAAAAAAATATATATATATTGTAAAGAGGGTTGACAGTTTTGAAGGAATATAAAAATTAAAACTGGGACAATAAAGTAGAGATAACAAAGAAGAGATTGAAAAAATTATCTCACTTCTCCTGGACAGACCGGCACCCAAATTATGATTCAGGTCAAATGGATCTGGAACGTGACATGTCAAGAGTTTCAGGGGACAATGCAGCAAAACATTTTCAATCATTATAAATCAAACTGACCTTCAATGACAATGTACTTCGAGGTCCACTGCTTGTTGAACGTGGTGAGACGGGCGTGCTGTCGGATACAAACGACATGCTCTCTGAAGTCAAACTCCTCTGTGTAGAAGCGGAGCAGGCCGAGCCAGAGCTCCCCCACAGTCTCAGTGTTTTTTCCACAATGTGGCCAGTAAAGGGGCTGCAGGTGGACAATAACATATATAAACGTTTACAACAGCTCAAATAAGCACACAAAAAGTGCCTTGCTTAAAAACCCTTGAAAGTATTTTATTGTATATTCATGTGAAGAATAAATACAGGAAATGCTGCTTTAATAAGCATTGCGGCTTCTTTAATAAAATCCTTTTGCATATTAAAAACCAGCAGCTGATATTACGGGGATCATTCATTTAACGAATCAGCATGAAACGTCCCAACCCTTTTTACTGTTTATTTGTAAAAATTCTTGTAACATTTAGCTTTCACTTCACAAGCTAAATTAAGATTCATCACCTAAAACCCAGCTAAGGCGCACTAGAAAAGTGAAAAAGTTCATTGGCTATAAATGCCTACAGCTATTAACCTATACAGCACAGGGATTAAAGCAAAACAGAAAAAAATCCTGAGCCTGAACTTTTTCGACACAGGCAAGAAACTCTTTCCACATATATAGGCGAGTATATGTGTATTTTCAAACCATGCCAGGGGGGTGTGGGGGCATGGGATCAGAGATTGCATGAATGATTGAAGAAAAAATTTGACTTTTGAAAATCCAATACCACAAATGGCCAGAAGATGGAAAGTACATCTACAGGTGCTGGTCATAAAATTAGAATATCATGAAAAAGTAGATTGATTTCAGTAATTCCATTTAAAAAGTGAAACTTGTATATTATATTCATACATTACATACAAACTCATATATTTCAGATGTTTATTTTGTTTAATTTTGATGATTACAAATGACAACAAATGAAAATCTCAAATTCATCATATCAGAAAATTAGAATATTACTGAAGACCAATAAAAACAAAGGATTTATAGAAATGTTGGCCAACTGAAAAGTATGAACATGAAAAGTATGAGCATGTACAGCACTCAGTATTTAGTTGGGCCTCCTTTGGCCTGTATTACTGCAGCAATGCGGCGTGGCATGGAGTCGATCAGTCTGTGGCACTGCTCAGGTGTTATGATAGCCCAGGTTGCTCTAATAGTGGCTTTTAGCTCTTCTGAATTGTTGGGTCTGGTGTATTGCATCTTCTTCTTCACAATACCCCATAGATTTTCTATGGGGTTAAGGTCAGGAGAGTTTGCTGGCCAATTAAGAACAGGGATACCATGGTCCTTCAACCAGGTACTGGTAGCTTTGGCACTGTGTGCAGGTGCCAAGTCCTGTTGGAAAATGAAATCTGCATCTCCAAAAAGTTGGTCAGCTGCAGGAAGCATGAAGTGCTCTAAAACTTCCTGGTATGTGGCTGCGTTGACCCTGGACCTCAGAAAACACAATGGACCAACACCAGCAGATGACATGGCACCCCAAACCATCACTGACTGTGGAAACTTTACACTGGACTTCAAGCAACGTGGATGAAGTGCCTCTCTTCTTTTCCTCCAGACTCTGGGACCTTGATTTCCAAAGGAAATGCAAAATTTACTTTCATCAGAGAACATGACTTTGGACCACTCACCAGCAGTCCAGTCCTGTTTCTCTTTAGCCCAGGCAAGACGCTTCTGACGCTGTCTGTGGTTCAAGAGTGGCTTGACACAAGGAATGCGACAGCAGAAACCCATGTCTTTCATACGTCTGTGTGTGGTGGTTCTTGAAGCACTCACTCCAGCTGCAGTCCACTCTTTGTGAATCTCCCCCACATTTTTGAATGGGTTTTGTTTCACAATCCTCTCCAGGGTGCGGTTATCTCTCTTGCTTGTACACTTTTTTCGACCACATCTTTTCCTTCCCTTCGCCTCTCTATTGATGTGCTTGGACACTGAGCTCTGTGAACAGCCAGCCTCTTTAGCGATGACCTTTTGTGTCTTGCCCTCCTTGTGCAAGGTGTCGATGGTCGTCTTTTGGACAACTGTCAAGTCAGCAGTCTTCCCCATGATTGTGTAGCCTATAGAACTAGACTGAAAGACCATTTAAAGGCTTTTGCAGGTGGTTTGAGTTAATTAGCTGATTAGAGTGTGGCACCAGGGGCCATCAATTTTGAACCTTTTCACAATATTCTAATTTTCTGATATGATGAATTTGAGATTTTCATTTGTTGTCATTTGTAATCATCAAAATTAAACAAAATAAACATCTGAAATATATGAGTTTGTATGTAATGTATGAATATAATATACAAGTTTCACTTTTTAAATGGAATTACTGAAATCAATCTACTTTTTCATGATATTCTAATTTTATGACCAGCACCTGTATATCTATGCATGTGCCAAATTTCTATCCAGTTATACTGCAGAGCGTTCCTGGAGCACAGCATACAGAAGCAAGCGCCTGGTTCACCTAACTTTCTGCACCAGCAGCTATATGGCTTGCCATCTTGCCCCGTCTCCTCCAGCCATGCCCAGCGCCATTTATTTTTGAGACCTTTATCTATGGTCGTGACATCTTCCTTGGAGGTCATGAATTGCATTGTGCCCACTCCATGCAATTCCGTTCTCTCAATCGTCCTTCTCTCCAAACACAAAGTTTCATTTATTTATTTTTTGACTTTTTACACGTCTCTCCGTTGAATGGAGCCGCAAATGACGCAAGGTGACTTTTCATGTAGAACTTTAGCCCTGTACCACAATCTATCTGGCGACTTGAGCAAGAAACGAGAGCAGGAGGTACATGCTTTCCTAAGACCTGCCTCCCTTGATCTTCTGATTGGCTGATACTAGGGTTGTCACAATACTAAGCTTTTCAACTCGATACCGATACTAAGGAAAATATTCGATACTCGATACCATTTTCGATACCACAAGGATAAAAATAAAGACTCCAAAATTAAACAGAAATATTTTCATTAATAAATAAAATACAATAAATAAACACAATAAAGGTTGTATGCTGTGCATAATATTATGCAAGCTTGATAAAAACTTATAAAATTCAAATTAAGTGTTTCTTCCACTAGCCAAACCAGTTAAGAAATAAAAATAATTCTCAGCAGCTGCACCTCTTAGAAAAAAAAAGTCTGAAACTGAAAAGAGCGTAGAATTATTCAATCACACAGTGTTCTGAAAGTGCATTGTCCTCTATTCTGCACTTTAGATGAATGACTGCTTAGGTGCCACTGGTGACGGCACTTTATCGATACTTTTAAAAACGAGTATTGTATCCGGATACAACATTTCAGTATCGATACTTTTTTGAGTTTCGATACTTTTGACAACCCTAGCTGATACTGTTAGTTTCAGATCGCTCCTTTGCTACCATTGACTGACAAATGCAAGAGGGATTTTGATTGTCTTTATTTTATTTATTTTCGTCAATTTATTTTCGAGTAATTTTTTTTTACCTACTGTGCGGTGACCAGATTTCTGCAATCTAATCTGGGGACATGTCCAGCTCATAGATAAAAATAAATACATTTTATGAAAACTAAAATAGGAAACGGGGATAGTGATGTTTTCATCAATTTTTACAAATTAATATTTAAACAAAAATCAAGTGCGAAATCCAGGAATGTGCCTCTTCCATTTCCTCAGATAAATAATATTAATCAATCAACAGTGCATATTAGTGACATTCAGTCTTCTTGCTTCTTCCCTTGTCAGCAATATACAGGTGCTGGTCATAAAATTAGAATATCATGAAAAAGTAGATTGATTTCAGTAATTCCATTTAAAAAGTGAAACTTGTATATTATATTCATACATTACATACAAACTCATATATTTCAGATGTTTATTTTGTTTAATTTTGATGATTACAAATGACAACAAATGAAAATCTCAAATTCATCATATCAGAAAATTAGAATATTGTGAAAAGGTTCAAAATTGATGGCCCCTGGTGCCACACTCTAATCAGCTAATTAACTCAAACCACCTGCAAAAGCCTTTAAATGGTCTTTCAGTCTAGTTCTATAGGCTACACAATCATGGGGAAGACTGCTGACTTGACAGTTGTCCAAAAGACGACCATCGACACCTTGCACAAGGAGGGCAAGACACAAAAGGTCATCGCTAAAGAGGCTGGCTGTTCACAGAGCTCAGTGTCCAAGCACATCAATAGAGAGGCGAAGGGAAGGAAAAGATGTGGTCGAAAAAAGTGTACAAGCAAGAGAGATAACCGCACCCTGGAGAGGATTGTGAAACAAAACCCATTCAAAAATGTGGGGGAGATTCACAAAGAGTGGACTGCAGCTGGAGTGAGTGCTTCAAGAACCACCACACACAGACGTATGAAAGACATGGGTTTCTGCTGTCGCATTCCTTGTGTCAAGCCACTCTTGAACCACAGACAGCGTCAGAAGCGTCTTGCCTGGGCTAAAGAGAAACAGGACTGGACTGCTGGTGAGTGGTCCAAAGTTATGTTCTCTGATGAAAGTAAATTTTGCATTTCCTTTGGAAATCAAGGTCCCAGAGTCTGGAGGAAAAGAAGAGAGGCACTTCATCCACGTTGCTTGAAGTCCAGTGTAAAGTTTCCAAAGTCAGTGATGGTTTGGGGTGCCATGTCATCTGCTGGTGTTGGTCCATTGTGTTTTCTGAGGTCCAGGGTCAACGCAGCCACATACCAGGAAGTTTTAGAGCACTTCATGCTTCCTGCAGCTGACCAACTTTTTGGAGATGCAGATTTCATTTTCCAACAGGACTTGGCACCTGCACACAGTGCCAAAGCTACCAGTACCTGGTTGAAGGACCATGGTATCCCTGTTCTTAATTGGCCAGCAAACTCTCCTGACCTTAACCCCATAGAAAATCTATGGGGTATTGTGAAGAAGAAGATGCAATACACCAGACCCAACAATTCAGAAGAGCTAGAAGCCACTATTAGAGCAACCTGGGCTATCATAACACCTGAGCAGTGCCACAGACTGATCGACTCCATGCCACGCCGCATTGCTGCAGTAATACAGGCCAAAGGAGGCCCAACTAAATACTGAGTGCTGTACATGCTCATACTTTTCATGTTCATACTTTTCAGTTGGCCAACATTTCTATAAATCCTTTGTTTTTATTGGTCTTCAGTAATATTCTAATTTTCTGATATGATGAATTTGAGATTTTCATTTGTTGTCATTTGTAATCATCAAAATTAAACAAAATAAACATCTGAAATATATGAGTTTGTATGTAATGTATGAATATAATATACAAGTTTCACTTTTTAAATGGAATTACTGAAATCAATCTACTTTTTCATGATATTCTAATTTTATGACCAGCACCTGTAACATTGTTTTCAGGGACAAGATAGTTTGCATCAATACAGTCTGTGGGAATTTCCCTCTTTTTCCATTCCAAAAATTAAAATGAAACTTTTATTTATATATATATATTATTTATATTATATTAAATATATATATATATATATATATATATATATATATATATATATATATATATATATATATATATATATATATATATATATATATATATATATATTTATTTATTTATTTATTTATTTTTTTTTTTCTAAACAATGATCAATATGAAAAGAAATGGCCTCCAGTTGTTTATACTGTATCCTGGACAGCTGCAGTGCATTGGGTAGCATCCAGCAGCCTGGATAAAATCTGTGTCACTATTTCAAAAGTTATGTTAGATTTTTATATTCAGATTAAATTACAACCATTAAAACACATCTATAAATTTGGATCATTCCTATGAGCAGCTTAAAGCAGCCACACCAAAAATACATGGTTTGTCATTACATATATAGATGATTAAAAAATAAGCTATCAGGGCCAGCATAAAAATAATCTGTCCTTCAATAAAGTTATAGCAAAACCTAACAGGAATATATTCTTTACAATCCTAAACCTATTTTCTATTAATGTGTACATAGATACAGCTGTGCTTTTTGTTTTAAATAAGCTGTTGTTTATTTGATAATATGTAAAAGTAAACATTGTATGATCCTTTTTAACCCTGTTACAAGACTCCACAAAGAAAAAGAAAATATTTGGGCAGAAACTGCACATATGCAGGATGCTGATGGGGATTTTTTAATATGTCATTAAATTAAGCATTAATTTCTGCAAGTTTTGCTCCTATGAATTTAATAATAATATAGCACATGCTCTCCTTGAGCTCTGAGGAAGTCGGAGCGCGGCAAGACGGGAGGAACAGCGAAGGCTGTAGACTTTTGCAGGTAGTCTGGAGTGGTAACAGAGGATGTGGGATTTCAGGGAAACGGTGTAACTGCGTCCAGCCGGCTGTGATAATAAACGTCCTCGTTTGTTTTAAAACTGGTGCATTCTGCTCCTCATCTATACGTTAACAGCTGTTTCTGTGCGCAGCATTGCTGGCGCGCTCTTTCTACCATAATGACAGTCTACACGCAACATTTCCCCTTCATTCATAAAACGGTAAAATCGAACACAATAAAACATGGCTAACTAAAACACTTAACTTCACTTTTGGATCAATAAAGTACTTTTTAAAAGAATCTGAAGTGAACACTGTTGTGAAGCACTTTACACAGCATACTCACCAGTGATTTTAAATCCTCAAAGAAAAACACATTCCAACCATCAACGAGCACTTCTGGCTTTGTTTTTCCATCATAAATCTGCAAAGATATGTACACTTGGTAATCCAGCTAAAGAGCTTTGAATTTACTTTAAAAAAAAAAAATCTCTTTCCAAATACCACATAAAGAGCAGAAAAGTTAATTTTAGAGCATGTTATTGTTCGTACCTCTTGGAGCACTGGGATGACAGGTGGGTTTCTCTGCTGAAGGAAGAAAAGCACCATGAGAGTATAGGCGTAGGATGAGAGGCTTCCACGCGACGCATCTCCAATATCGCACATCTGAAATAAAGGGGGCGGAGGCAGAAAACTTCAAAATGAGGTAGTGTACAAACAACAAATATTCCTTAGCCCACTAGTTATGTTTTGTTTACCTTTGCAAAAACCTTCATAACATAACAAAGGATCTTCACTCTTCTGTCTATGGCTGCATATGATGCGAGCAGGCGTGTGTTATAAAGAGCCTGAAGAAAAACACAATAAAAAATTGCTATTAATAGCTTGTCAATGCTAACTAATAGCATAGCTAGAGACAGGTAAATTCCTACCAGTGTATTGTAGAGGCTGATATCTCCCTCCAACCCAGTGCGAATATGGTAAAACTTAACAATGGGTACTTTAGCTGTGGTGATGGGGAGGATGTTCTTAAGGCCTGGCAAGAAGAAAAAAAAAAGGCTACCAATTAGAAACTGCTTTAGCCTAAACCGCCAATGGGAGTTTGTTTTTATAAAGGGCCATACTTTCATTATATTACTTTTTCAAATGTATACACCAGAAATAGTTTAGTGTTTTAATCTTTGTTTTGGTTAATTTAATAAATAAAATTATTATAACTAAATTTAGTACCTAAAGCCCTTCTGTGTACATATAGCATACAGTAGCAACACCAGGTTAGCAGAGGTATGATATGGTGCAGGTGTAATGGGTAAACAAGGAAGTAATGAGACTCAGAGAGTCAGTAACTCCCAGCAGAAGTGTAAAAAGAAAAAGAAGTCCAAGATCCAATGTGAAGCAAAACCAACAAATATTTGATTTCAAGAGGTAAGGTTGTCAAATAGCACTCAGGATACATTTGAACATTGTTGTTCACTGAACTTAGGGGTAATAGGTTTATTTTCTGCCAGAGCTACAAGAATCCAACACAATATACAAAATCCGATTAAATTCAGGTCTCCAAAACAGTAGCCTCGTGAGACCATCCTGATCTCACGAGCTTTCAAGGTTTCACTCGCAGATCAGTCTGGAGACTCTCCGTTAAAGAAAATTTGGAGCCGTTCACCAAACGAAGGTCCAATCAGCATTGGCTTTGAGGCGGGTTGAGGTGTGACGCAACGAGAAGCGTGACAGTTCAGTCTAAAGAACATGGCGGCTTCAGCCGATGAAACTAGCGTTAGTGTGGCTATCGAGCAAGTTTTATCGGAATTACAGAGTATTTCTTCACTGAAAGAAGAGCAAAACACTGCTCTGGAGGCTTTTCTCAGAGGAAAGGATGTTTTTGCTCTTCTCCCGACTGGTTTCGGCAAGAGTTTAATCAATCAATTGGCTTGTGCCTGGCTTGTGGTTGTGTTTTCGTCGTCACTCTGTTAGTACGTCATATGCTTCGTTGATCTGATTGGTTTATTTGGCCCGTCTATCACCAACATAGGCCAATCAGCTAACCAGTATTTTCGCCCCTTCCCAAAATTACTTCAACGGAAGGTTTCCAGATGGATATGCGGAGCAAATCCAGCTGCGGGATCAGGTTACCAAAACAGTGCATTTAACAGGAAACAGGATTTTGATGTGTTTAAATTTTTAACTTATGACATTTCTGGGGAGCACTCATGTTGACTCGGAGTTAATGCAGATATAGGGTTGGTTTTGACACACTCAGCTTTCCCTTTATTAAAAACGCATTGCAGGACAGTCAGGCTCTATAATCTGATTTTTTGCTCACCCCACCAGATACAGGATTTCTACTTAGGCTTAAAAAAGGAGCATCTAAACTATAAAGATGGGTGCTTGGTGTATATATTATCTAATTTTATGTTCATATGACCTTTTATTTAATCTGTTTGAGAAAAAAAAAGGTTAACTTGTCAGTAATTACTAAGAAGTTATATTGGATTAAAATCTGAGTTAGAAGGCTAAACAAGTAATGCAATGACCAATTTCTCACTTAAACTCTGCCATACCTTGGTGTTTCTTCAGCTGTCTTGCGAGGCCTTTAATAATATTAATGCAATCAAAATCCTGTTAGAAATAATATAGAAACAACATTAATTGCCAGAACATATGTCACAAAAAACATTGCAATATTTTTTTTTCTACAAAATAAAAAAGAAATCCCAATTTAAAAACAACGTAATAAACAACATTTTAAATGTTTGAAAATAAAAATGTAAACAAACGGACAAATACAAAATCTTAACAAGGGTGTATCTGACTAACAAATAAATCCCTCACATCTATGGTTTCCTTTCCCTCCAGAACCATGCAGATGTCAAGATCACTCTGCCTGAATCCAAAGCCATTTTTGGATGAGCCAAACAGTTGCAGCCGAGCCCCTGTGTAGCAGAAACAGACCATTTCAACAAACATACAGCTACAATCTGAAAAACTAAGTACCACCGTCATTTAATAGCCTGCAGATCTTTACCATTGTATTAGAGATTATTTTCTTTGTCAGATGATTTGTGGAGGCTATCATGCAGTGTTTGGGATTATTAAGTTTGGACAGAGCTCACACACTAGAGGGGACTTGATTGTCAACTCCATATTTTCTGGCTGCTATATGAGCTCAAATCATCAACACAACAACACCTGCCTTTCCGTAAGTCACCACTTTGTTATTTTGATTAGCTGCAGTTACATTTACTTAGTGCAGTTTCCTTTATTATTGTAATTTGACCTTTAACTTGGAAACAAAGCCATGCTTGTTACAACCTGGCTCCCACTGGGCAGAAATGACATGGGGAAGTTCGGAGCACAGAAACAAAAATGTAGAAATCTTTCTGTTCTGCTTATTAGTGCTGTAAGTACAACTGAAAAATAATTTTGTCAAAAAGAGCGAATTCAATGCAAGTTTTGCAATATTCTATTTTTTTTATGTCATCTCTGAGTGCATGCTTCAAGCTAGGGCTGGGCGATATGACCTCAAATCAATAACACGGTCAATTGGGCATTTTTTACCTTGATAACAATAAATGCATGAAAGTGCTCCATCTCCTCTATCAGAAATAAGAGCATGTGCAGGAAATGCAATTGATCTATTTATAATTTATTTATTGAATTAATCACATAACATATTACTTTTCATTAAATATTAAAGTCTTGTACCCATTCGGGTTTAATCATTCAACAATATCTCATTGCCCATGAGAAAAATGTTACCTCTTCTGCAAACATTTTTGCACAAAGGTAACAGAGCCTTTTGCGCTTGGTTGAACTCAACAGCATGGCTGTGCTGCAGGTGGTGGAGGATGGATGTGTTACTTTGGGTAGTCCAGACAGTTTTCAGGCAAAATTTGCATTGCAGGTTCTTTTGCTCAACATTTATGGTGTAATTTTGGTGGCACCAAACTGAGCATGCAGTGACAACAATGTGCATCGCTTAAAATCTCACACCCTCGCTCAAAAATGGTCTGCAGCACACTCTAATCTGACAATACGCTCTGAACTTCTCTGCTTGCTCAGTTTCATCTCTGCCCTCGCTCAGCTCTACAGGATTAACTGAAGTAATTCTGTTTTCAGCTGTGTTAGATGTGTCTTCATTGGGCTCATCCGCCATTCTCTTTGTCTACATCTGACTAGATGGGTGGAGTCATGTGATTATATACATGATGCAGTGTCTTAAAGGGGAAGTAAATACCAGTCACCCTTGCACACGGGAAAAACGGCAGAATTAAGTAGTTTATTTCTTTTACCAACATGGGAAAATTGTCACCGGTTATCATAGTGAATGACGGTAGCGGTAACAATCCGGTTTATCGCCCAGCCCTACTTCAAGCTAAAAGCAGGTGATGGGCTTTGAAGTGCTATAGGTCGCAGAAAAAACTAGTCCGTTTAATGATTGTTTTTAGAGACAAACAAATTTTGCCCTGCATGCACTTTTGTTTGTGGACACGTATTCATGCAAGCATGTGTGGACCTTTGGATTGTTTCATAACCATCTTGAAAGTTGAGGGGGTATAAAAATACAATTTATAGTTTCATAAAAAAAAAATTTTTTTAAATAGAAAAAAGTAAAGTGACTTAAAAAAGGATGAGGAAAAAGATCACTTTACCAGGAAACTGTCGTCTCACAAAGCTCTGCAGGTCTTGAAGGATGAGCTCTCTTACACCAGTCTCCTGGTCATCTGGGACAAAATCACCTAAATAAAAAAAAAACAGGTTTGTTCTTGCCACTTCAAGTGTCTCGGGAGGAAATCTTTTTTAAAACTCTGTAAATATCTCTAATCTCATGTCATAGTTTTTTGGTATTGAAACAAAGTAATATACAAGCACCTTTGTTTTTACTTTCTCCTTTTCTTATGCATTTTAACCTCTCAACATCACAGGTTCTGAGTTAGGCTCATAGAGTAAAGCTCAACAATGTGATATGTTTCCTAACAACTATAAGGTAGCACTCACTGTAACATTGTTCACAGACTCTGTTAAGGACATGAAGAAAGTCTGGTGTTAACAGGGGAAGGGGATCCAGCTCCATCTTTGTGAAATCCTCTGGACAGTCTTTCTTCCGATGTCCATCTCGTTTGCACAAGCTACACACCACCATATGTGACTAGACAAGTATTATTATTAGTAAAAGTCAGATGATGAAGATTTTACCTTATAGATGCTAAAAGTATAAAATGTGATCAAACTTACTTTTCCTTTGGTAAAAGCTTGCTTGGTGAATTTATAAGCCCTTCGGCTCTGCTGTTGGGTTTTATTGTCTGTGCTTTCATTTTCAGTCGTGCTCTGTGAAGGTGAGGCTGAACGCCTGACATGAACCAGTTCATGGTCCTCGTCTGGAGAACCCGGTGTGTCCAAATCTGGTGGTTCCTCATCAGACAGCAGTTCTTCACCTGAGATATCATCGATTGGGAAAATGTCTTCCTCCTCTGTTGTAAAGCTGTCCAGGTGCTGTCGATCACGCCCCTGAAGATCAACATCTAGATCCTCATCCTCCTCGTCTTCTGACAAATGCATTTTGCTAAGGTCTTCCTTTTCCTTCCTTCTCTCTTCATCAGAGTCACTGCATTCCTCCTCTTCTTCAATGATGCAGTCAGAGTCATCAGGGCCATCTTGTGCAGCTTGAGTTTGAATGGCATGCTGGGACTGAAGGGAGAGCTGACTGAACCCAGAGAGGCCGCTTAAAGCCTCAGTGCCGGCTCCCAAGACATGGCCAGGCTTGGCTTCCCCTGCTCTGTGGTTAGCAGCAGACTTATTGAGCGGAAGAGCAAAGTATTTATACGTGGTCTTGAGGCAATGAAGGATGTAGTCAAACATTTGCTGGCTGTTCACAGTCCGGGCCACGTTTCTTTTAACAGCAAACGGGTCTGAAAAACAGAACCATTTTGCAGGATTTAACTACATTACAGTGATAAACCCTCGGCCAAAATGTTCATTTTGAACGTTTGAAAAAAGTAAACAGAGTAGCTGTTAACATAGATGCAAATAGACAAGGAAATACCAAACTTAGTTTCAACAAAGAGCAAAATGTAAGAGGCAAACCGGGTACTTGCAAACTTCTCAGAGCAGAAGCACACTACACTAACCACTATGGCAACACATCCCAAATGAAAAATTCCCAAAGGTAATGATAGATTTCAAAAGCTTTAGGATATTAGTTTAACATTTTATAGATCGTCAAACAGAGTAAAGATACCTCAAGTCTTTATTTCTTCTACTTTTACCGAATATCCCCAACAAATTATGAAAAATAATGTAAAATAAGAGTTTTTTACATCTGAATATTATTTAAAAAGTTTTCAAACTTGGAAACTAAGTCCAAAGGATTGCTTTTTTTTTTTTTTTTTTTTTTTACCTTTTTTGGAATTAGTCATCTAAAAAGTAATGAAACTTCCTAAAAAGCTAATATACCTGCAAAGGTTTCCTTGAGCCTGTATTAGTCTGGGTCAGTAGGCTATACCATGATCCTGGTAAGGCCGCGGTTCTCAAAGTGTGTGGCGCGACCCACTGGTGGGGAATTGAGACGTGACAGGTGGGGCGCGCCAAGTTCCGGTGTGTGTGTGTGTGTGTGTGTTGTGTGACTATAAATGTAGAACGTGTGAGAGCAAACTGTCCTTATAGCTGTATGTTGCCGCTTTTTAGACCAATCAAACCCACAAAGTAGTCATTACTAGCCTACATGCAGTCTAATTAAAAGAACATTAGATATGAGAAAAATTTCACCTGGAACTGAAGTGCCAAAATAATGATGGACGTGACGTCGGCATATTATTTGTAACGGAATAAACTTTTGCGCCCCAGTGTTGCCAACTCGGCGACTTTGTCGCTATATTTCAGACCCCTTCAGCGACTCTTTTTCAAAAAAGCGACTAGCGACAAATCTAGCGCCTTTTGGAGACTCTTACGTGAAAGCACGTATCGTTCCTTTTCTTGTCCTCCAGCGGCAGGTGCTGCCGTGGGGCGCCTCCGTCCCCACCCCATTCTCCCCCGCTATTGCAGGAGTCCCTCTCAGCGCTGCAGTCAGAGACACAGCATGTTTTACTTTAGCGTCCAGACTGCAAATAAAGCGCACATGCGCCGGGATTGACGGCGCAGGTTGATCATAAATAACTGAATTTGAAATATTTTATCTTAAATAAATAGGACCAGTTTATTGAAATGACGTCTGACTCCACCCTGAAGCTCAGGTTTAATGCTCAGACTCATAGTGAATTCTGGTTTGGAGTGGAGAGGGAGTATCCACTCATCGGGCAGAGAGCTGTGTGCATTCTTCTTCCCTTTGCCACATCATATCTCTGTGAGATGGGCTTTTCAACTGTTGCTTCACTGAAAACAAAATACAGATCTCAGCTGAACATTGAGCATGACTTGAGAGTGGCAGTATCAAGCCTGCAACCCCGTTTTGAGAAACTGTGCAATGCAAAACAGGCTCATTGCAGCCACTAATGCAGGGATAAATCGACCTGTCTTGCCAGATGGATTTCACTTCTTTTCTTTTATTAACAGATTGCAGAGTGGCACTTTAATTTTTTCTATCTTTGAGCTTGATACAAATTTTGACACAGCTGCATTTTTATTTTCTTTATTTTTGAGCTTGCTGTTATTTGATGTAGATAGTTTGTATTTAGATACTACTTGTTACTTCAATAAAATTGGAACATTTTAAGATTGTTGCATATTTCATTAGCATTGTGTTGGGGCGATGGGGACAGGCGGGGCTTGAAAATTCCCCCTTGTCCAAAGTGGGGAATGACAGAAAAAGTTTGAGAACCACTGTGGTAAGGACTTCTGACCTTCACTGAAACCCTCCACAAGGAGGTTGAGGCACTTTGAAAATTTACAGCTCGAAAGATGAACAGGTAAGATTTTACCACTAGGTGGCCTGTTGAGCACTGTCTACAGACAAAAAAAACAGCTGTTGCCTCATATATGCATACATACAAAGGGGAAATACACAGCATCACCTTATAGTGGAAAAAATCTATTTAAATTCTAGGCAATTCATAGCTTTATGATCGTGTTAACAAGATAATTCATTTTGGCAAATTACTGTCTGCTGGATTTATGAGCAGAGAGGGGCTAAACAGTGAGTGGCAGCTACTCACAAGGACAGATATGAATGTGTGGACTAGAGAACAAAACAGAGAGATGGTGTATTGCGTAACACCATCTTCTATCTGAAAACATGCCTTTAGTTTTGCACATCATTTTTCAATTCTTTCTATCTGAATATATAAATGATCTCTTCTCTAAGAAGATGGATGTACATGAAGTGTTGTATTCAAGCATAATCAAACAAAGTTAAGTGGAAGGAAATCCATAATAATACAAAATTCTAATGAAGTAAAGTATCCTTTACACCCCACTTCCCATCTATTGCAGATATATCACATAAAATCAACAATTACACACACTGAAGTCTTTGGTAAGACAGTGAACAGGGTTAAAAACTTTAAAGAGCTTCTGACCCTCGATAGCGATGCGCTTCTTTGGCCAGTCTTTCATCTCTCGAGAAAGGACAGCGGCGGTTCTAACACTGATCACGTTGTCAGCCATGATAAACTCCAGCGAGTAGAAGCGAAGCATTTCTATCCAGAGGAGTCCAACTTCCACCGCTGGACGGGTGCTCTGAAACACCAGCGGCACCTGAAGGCACAGCCCAATTAGACAAGAAAAAGTAATAACTCTGGTTTTCTCAGGATGGTTGCAAAACTTCAATTTCTCACAAATAAAATTTAAGTGACTTGATTATTTTTTTTTTATGTTTTGATTAGATTTAACTGATTTTGTTTCGATGGATTCGGGACTTATCAGAATTGGACACCGTTTTTCGGAAAAAAATAAATTTTAATAAAAAAAAAGTAATCATAAAAACTATTTTAAAGTTAACTAATTGCTCTGATTAAAATATTTTTTATTACCTTTCCTTTTATAGTGGCGCTCTCTGCAGGCTGAGAGGATTCTCTGGAGGGAGGGCAGAAGGTCCAGTGCATGTACTCTTCGTCAGTATGTGTGAGATTGAAGTCGGACAGCCGACTAAGTGAAAAAAGTTTCACCTACAGACAAGGAGATATCAAACTTAGTTTTAACAAAGAGCAAAATGTAAGAGGTAAACATTGGTCTCAGGTTGGATGAATCTCCCACAGGAAATGTGTTTAAAACTCACCCCCTGGTTCAGATACGTAGGCAAGAGAGGCTCTCTACGCTTCTGTAAGTAGAAGATGACCATGAGGGCAAACACATGTGGAGGCAACCCCCCTTCCTCTGGACGGTCAATTTCACAGAGCTAGACAAAAGAGAGAAACTTTATTATAATAATAAAGGTCTGAATGCTGCTTCAAATTTACATCCTGCCTGGCTGATCCAGGATTAACTGAAGACTTACCTGTGCCCAGCGTCTGAGGCCCAAAACCAGAGGGAGGAGGAGATGGTTCATCTTTCCAAGGGCAGACAGGTAGGAGGATGTCTGAAAAGCATTTTCATTCCCAGCACTCACTTTGCAGATTAAACCACTGTTGAGATAAATCATAGTTTTTTTCCCCAGAAGAAACTCACAACTTTTGTATAAAGGGAAACCTAAAGTATCAAGTGTCAACAATATATGTATAGGATCAGCAAAAACATTCAAACCTAAGAGGAGTAAAAAGCTGCATGAGCTTAAATTGCACCCATTAATATTTTGTTTTAGTAATACCACATTTCCTTAACCTTAAAGCCCTATTCCATAATCAGCTGCTTTGTTTCACTCAAATTTCTACACGATACCCAGAAATGACACAGTAAAAAATTACTGTTTTTGATTTTATATATGAAAAATAAAAAAATTAAAAAAATAAAAGTCAATATAGTTCGGGCAGGGCTTCACCAGGGAAAATTATCCCACACACCAAAGAGATTTAAATAAAACTGTAGTTTATCTTATTTCAATATGTAGTTTACTGCAGATTACTTTTCTATGTTAAACTGTTTAAAAAGGCCAGTGAGGAGTGAAAACTTTAAAGCAAACCAAGCAGAGCTTCAGAAACAAATGCTTAAGAACCACTGGATTAAGTTATTTACACCTCACCTGATCCCATTATATGTACTGACCTCTTTCTTTCTTTACAGATGACCACAGGCACAATGGTATGAAAGTCAGCTTCCACGTCAAGAAAAAGATCTGAAAAAACAACCAAACATATTAGACATTTAAAAATGTTCTGCAGAGTATCAGTCAGAGAGTTTTTATGATTATAGTGGATTTTTTTTTTTTTTTTATGAAAACATAGTTGGTTGGAAGAACAATAGTGTGTGACTTACAGCTCACACTTAGGATCTCCTTTACCTTCATCAAGACATCTGGCTGACGCATCTGGGAAGAAATCCAGATTTTAAAACACATAACATAAGTCCAACATAAAACTGATACATCGGCTGGGCAATATTTTGGACCAATATTGGCGTTTTTCTTTCTTGTTCTGACATCTGCCAATACATGCATGTGCTTGCTGATTAGTGCATCAGCAGCCATGCCTTGAGATCACGTAAAGCGCAGGCATTACTGCTCCCTTCACTTCAAATTCATTGTTAATGTTTTGTTAATATTTTTTCTTATTCAAAATAACAATTGTGAAACATTTGCAATCATTTTGTCATGTTTATCATATTAATGGGGGAAGAGAAAGCTTTCAGAATCAGCCCCAATCAGCATATTTTTTGAGCATTGGTTTGACTGAGAGCAAAATAAGCTGTACCGGCCGATTAGGCTAGAGCTACAACCCAAGAAGTGAGCATAGAATTTTAATATGGATGGAAATAACAAATCTATTACATGCTACTACAGACACGACTCTATCCATACTTTTTAATTAAAACATCAGAGATAATAAGGTATTTAAACTGTCAATCCCACATCGTGCTACTTACATGAGGGGGGTACTGAACGTCAATGTTGACATCAGAATCCTTAAATCCAAACTTTGTGCAAGATGAGCCATACAGCCTGAGCTTTATTTCTACATGGGGAGAACATATGTCAATTGATTAAGGTAGTTTGTATAAGGTAGCAGACAACCCATGACCTAAAAGTAATTAAGGTACTGATTACAGAAACAAAAGTCAGCTTTATCCTCAGAAGATTCACCTGGCAGGACAGACAGCAGAAGTCCTTGCATGGTGAGGACAACCTCCTCTCTTATCAAAACATCCTGGTCTTTCATCCCATGCTCCTGGACAACAGCCTTTAGAGCTTCAGTCACTGCACTGATGTGCTCTGGACCTGGAGGCGTGATCTGAGTTAGCATCTGCTGCTCCTGTTTCTCCTTGTAAAAAAAGAAGAGAAAAGAAGGTTCCAACTACTTTATATAAAGCATAAAATGCCTAGGACTTCCTTACACTTTGTCATACTAGGAAACCAAATATCATTATATTTTATTGGGCAGTGTTCAAACTATTATCAAAATAAACAAGAACAAAAATTATGCAGGGCTGTTACTTGTTATACAATATTGGGGCATCTGAAAAGAGCCTTCTCTGTAGGGTAGCTGGGGACTCCAGCTAGGAGCTTAGTCATCGGGGAGGACAGTTGGTATATCCCCAATCCTTTAGTGATATCAAATATCAGGCCGATATTAGCCAAAAAACTGATATCAAATTTTAGCGAACTGTTAAAAGTTTCTGTAACTCATGTTAATTCTACATGGCTCAGTTGTTTTCATGACTTTTATATTTGACTTTTGTTCCCTGTTTTAGTATGTCACCTGATCAAGCCTATTCTAACATTTTACAGTATAAAATAAGTAGTAAAAGCTGGTATGACTTATGCTAATGTCGCATCGGACAATATCGGTATCAGACAATTCTCAGAGCTGTAAAACTGGTATTCCATTGGAAATTAAATGGTTGGGACACCTCTAGAGAAGAGGAGCTGCTCCTCCACATTAAGAGTGGTTAGTTTAGTTGGCTTGGGCATCTGTTCTGGATGCTCTCTGGCCGCCTCCCTTTGGGCATGGGCAGAGGGAGATATGTGCTTTGAAATGATTTCTTACCCGAGCCCTCTTCTTGTGACGTCTTTCCCCAATGTGTTTCAGAGCACGAGGAATAGACTCCAGAAGACATTCACACAAACTGCAGGTGTAATGCTCAGCAGGATTGCTATGGGAATTCTGAATTAAAACAAAACAAAATTAATTAACGAAGTGTTCTTAAGTGTATTTCAATAAACAGTTCAAACATTGTGACAATCAGTACCTTTCTTACGAGGTGAATACCCTCTCTTTTCAGTCTTCTCTCTGCTGGCCATATGTTTTGGACCTCCTGACCTGAGAATCTGGACTCCTCACTTTCAAGGCCCTTGTACTCTTCAACTAAAGCTCTTTTTTTGTTTCTATTCCTCTGTTTTTTTCCTTCATTGAAAACAATTAACATCATTACTTAGTCATTTATGTATATATCATATATGGTGTCCAGAATACATTACGGTATTTAAGTCACTGCATCATGATTTTTACCACATTAAACAATTTTATTTTGTACTTAATTTCTTTTTTTTAGTAAAGACAACACAATAAATGTCACATACAAATAATTTCAGTACTTTCCAAAAAAATACCTCACCAGATCTATGGCCGATGATATCGGTGTTTTCACTCCTACAATAGGTTTCATCCTCGTTTGGACTTTGTCCCTGGCCTCTCCTCCTCCAGTGCTGCTGCTGCTGTGAATACCCTCTCCAATCATCCTCTTGACAGATATCACTGTTAACTGTGCAGGGGAACCTCCGGAGGCTGTCTCTCTGAGAGGGGCTTTGGCCACCTCTAAATCCAACGGGGCCCTGGGTACCTTGTCCCTCCTTCTTGGGGCTTGCCTTGTAGGGGCTACCCTGGTTCTTCTTTCCCTGCTGACCTCCCTCTGACCTGGAGTCATGTCCACAAACCTGGTCTTGCATTTTCCAATTTTCTCCCTTGCCTGCAGCCGTAGCTCCCCTCTCCTTTGTTCCCTGCTTAGTCCTATGGGGTTTGCCTGAATTTTCCATGACTCAATTTTGCTTTAACTGTAGGACGAAATGTAACTGTTACCCAGAATTCTTTTTGTGTTTTGCTGTGCAACCAAAACAATCAGGAATAAACAGGATTTAAATAAAAACTAAAATTCTAACAGTTCTGTATCCATGGAGCTTGATATTTTTTTTTTGCCTTGTAAACATCTTGCATCAGCATTTTTTGTAATTTTGAGATTTTTTTTTTGTGCGTTTTGCTACGTATACATCTGACTTTAACTGATGTCTTAAACCGACTTTTAATAGGGCAAATCAGTACGAACTTTCAAAAGAAAAAGTATATACTGTCCCGTTGTAGGAGAAGAATCCTCCCAAATAGCCAGAGATAACTTAAAACGGAATATCCACTAAAGCAAACACCATAGATTTGGCATTTTTACTCTTTCTCTGTTTGATTTCTGCAAACTAAGCTTTACTTTGAGATATTGGAAGGAATAAATGATTAAAAACAAATCTAATTAAAACAAATCAAACGCAAAATTAAAGCATAAGACTAATACATATTACCAACAAACCATACATTTTAGGTAGCTATTTACAGTTAGATTTATTAGGCAACATGGCTAGACCTACCTGGCTAACTGTGAGTCATTTTCAACCAACTATAAGGTTTTGTTAGCTTAGGTTAAAAGCGTCCGCAATTCCTGGAGTTAAAGCTCACCATGGTGGTTCAAACCATGTAACCAACATATAAAAGCAGCTTCCGTCACATTTAGAAAGAGTGTTCACCGAAGCTTAACAGCTAATGCTAACGCTAGCTGCTAATATTTAGCTTGCCACTTACACAGCTAGCCCAAATGCTAACGTTACGGTTTGTTTGTTTTTTCCCCCAGCTGCAGCCGTGATCCATTAATTGCTTTGTCAAAAGACGGATATAAATGTCCACATTCTTGTTATAATGTATTTAGTAGGTAAAGACCATACATACTTATCGGGTTGTTGATGTTGTCCTGCTGTTGAGTTTGAAAGATGACGTAGAGCAGTGATTCTCAAAAGGGGCTACTGGCACCCCTAGTGGTCGGCGAATGTATTGCAAGGGATGCATGAACATTTAATTAATCAGAAAATAAAATAAAATAGAATAGAGCTGGGATCTGCTCTGCTTTATGAGGAACCAATTAAAAAATAAAAGAAGCTTTTTTCAACCAAAAAGTACGTTTTTCTTCTATGTTTGAGTTCACTTTCAGCTTTGGCACACATCAAAACCAAGGAAGGGAACAGACTGGGTATAAAGAACAGCCTGGTATCAGCTGTTTTCCCACATCTGAGCTCATCAAAACAAGCTGAGGTGTCATAAATGTTGAAAGCAAAGTTACACAAATTGTATGAGTCTGACTATAATTTTTTGTTTAGTAGTTTGTCCCCAATTCCTCATGATTATGTGTGATTACAGGGGAGTTATTCAGAGGAGCTCAGCGTTATAAAGGCAGATTCATGGTATGATTTTATTTATTTTAATTCCTTACTAGCTTCCAGGTAACATATTTGTATTGTTTTTTATTTGAGTACAAAAGAATACAATTCCAAAGAATGAAATTAACAATTTAATAAGAAAATACTTAAAAACATAAAAATAAATAAAATACTTTTTTATTTTATATTTAGTTGTTGTACATTCTAATTCTGGGCAGTCATCAATATTTTTGACTTTTTCTTTGAATTAAGAATTAACCCAAGGAACAGAAAAATAAATTAAGAAGCGTTCTCAGTGCATTATATCAAAATGAATGGTGAAATAAAAATATTAATCTGTTAGAATTCATTCGTAAAATAAATTAGAGCAGCAAACTATAAAAACCTTATTTATTTCAGCATTGCCATGAAATGAAATGAATGTCCAGAGAAAATGGTTAAAATAATCTAATTGAAAATCTGAAGTAGGCTAAATCTGAAGTAAAATAGGAAAACGATAAAGACAAGAAGTTTAAGGAAAACTGAAGTCAAAATCATATAAAATTAATAATTACGAAAGAAACATAATTACGAGAAAAGTTCAAGGTAAAAAAAAAAATAAAATAAATGGTTCTTGTGTAAAAGGATAAAATATTCAATTACACTGTGGCAATATATCCAAAAGAACATCATATTAGGTTTAGTTTCAGGGTTAGGGCATAGTAATGACTGAAAATCAGTTGAGGTCAATGGGACACATGGTTCTCACTACATATAGCAGAACAAACATGTATGCGAGTGTTTGAATATATAGACCACTTACTATAGTCACAAAGATTATTAACCCCTTGAACCCTACGGACCCACTGGCGGGTCCAGCTGCTACATGACCTCGTAGTTTTACCAAACCCCCAGTATTGATGTAAAAAACATATTTGGCACAGTTTGGTTACATTTATGGATAAATGTGCCAAAATGGCCTCTCCGCCTAAGAAATTTCTCACTAATACCATTCTAAAATAAATATGATTCATCTGATTGAGTCCAAATTTGGTATATTTTTACACAACATTTAGATTTGAAAGTCTGTACTACTTTTTTGTGCTATAAATAATATTTTGGTAGTGTTTTGCAATGTTTATTTCAAAGAAAATTTTGGCGAGGTTCAAAAAATGCAAAATATTTTGTATTTTGTCCCTAATATTTCAGGCAGGGTCAAAGCTACAATGGTGCTGACACCAGAAAACCATTCTATGACATCTTACCTTTACAGACGTACCAAAAGTTTCTTCTTAAATCTAATAGCTTTGAGGCTATAAGTTATTTACTTTTGTGTGTTTTTGTCAGGCAGAAATTTATTTATACCCCCTTAGGGTGTAAGAGGTTAATATAATTTCTCATAACATAAGTAGACCTATAACCAACTTAACACATGTGGTTAAATATGTGTCTTCATTATGGATTTTTTTTTTTTTATCTGTTTTGTCCATTTAAATAAGCCTGACATCAACAGCTGCCAAAATCACCATCTGGGTCTATCTGCAGGGGATGGTGCGACCCCGGTTGCCATAGCAATGAGGTGAAAGCCGGTGGCAGGAGCGGGGAATATCCCGGGAAAAGTGACGTCACCATGCGGCAGCACTCTTCCTCGCTCACCCAGCACTCTGTAGGCAAAAAGCCCTCAAAGACTAACGGGAAGTGTAGGCATGGTCTCATTTGGGAAGGACGGATCTTTTTCTAAAAGAAGACTCACACCGCCTCAGCAGACCGGTCGGCACAGAAAACAGAGATTTCTGACCAAAATGGGTGACTCTGGATTCGAGGACGATCTGGTTTCCTCTCCCATCGCTCACCGTTCACGCAAAAATGCGCCCCACCTGGGGTCAGAGGAGCCCGAGTCAGCTGATGGAGAGCTGTCCAACTGGTACCTTCAGTATGGAGATGTCGGTTTCAGGATCCAGAGGGAGAAAGAGTTGCAGTTTCATCCCTTTCAAAGCCTGGCACGTCAACCACAAGTAGGCTACAAGAAATATAGCCAGATTAATGCAAATTAAGAAAAAAATATTTCTGATTTAGTTTTTTTTTTTTTTTTTTTTTTTTAGTTTTTTTTGCACACTTGCCATAAAATGCAACAGCACTACAACTTGGCTTCATGTTTTGTTTTTTTACAGCAGCAAAAATGTAAGCAGCTAAAAATAATAATTAAGAAACAACTCTTTGAAAATCGGTTATAGGTAGCAATGCTGTGAAAAAAGTTTTTAATCTCTTTCACAATTATTGTATTTTTTTTTTTTGCTTTACACTGTAATGTCACCACATCTTATTATTGTCAGCCATAGAATCCCTTAAATAGAACCTGTGACAACATCAAGATGAGGAAAATATCCAAACGGCAAAAATATCATATATCAATCTTGAAAAGATTATAAACTTTTAAGGCTTTTGCAGGGTAACAACCCAGAAGCCACAGAGAAAAGGATGGAGAACCTTCTCTGATTAAAATTAATGCACCCAGTTATATCTGGTTGAACCTAACACAATATCTAGGGCAGGAAAAACAATTTCATACAGTAAAACAGGGTTTTAAAGTGTGATGGTCTGGGAATGTTGCGGTTCTTTATAACCTGTATGAATCGCAGTTATTCACATTATTATGAAGGCAGATTTGTTAGGAGATTTGTTAGGTTTTTTTTTTTCCTAAACAGAACCATGTTGATTAGGACCACTTTCCGCCTTATGAAATCTTAATTTAGTGCATTGTGGATCTACTTTATCTGATATTAAAATAGGCTTAATCTAGAAACTTTTATCTTTAAAAAATTGCAGAAAAAGATTTTTTTTAATTCAGTGTACAATTTATGTCTGATGGCTAATGGTTGTTTGTTCTGCTTGCAGCTGACTGCAGATGCACGCTGTAAGCTGGTCAGCTGGCTCATCCCTGTCCATAAACACTTCCGTCTGTCCTTTGAGTGCTGCTGCCTGACTGTGAACATCGTGGACAGATTCCTGGCATCCACTCCAGTGGCTACAGACTGCTTCCAACTCCTGGGTGTCACTGCACTCCTGTTAGCGTGTAAACAGGTCTGTCTTCAGCCATATTTTTCAGAGGCAGATCCCTCTGACTTTATTCAGATTTCCCCCTCTCTATTTTCCCCCTGTAGGTGGAGGTGCACTCTCCTTCGGTCAGATATCTCCTGTCCTTGTGCTGTGATGCATTCACTAAGGAGCAGTTCTGCAATCTTGAGTGCCTTGTCCTCCTCCGCCTTAACTTTCGCCTTACAGTGCCCACCTTGGCTTTTTTTCTTGACTATTTCAGCAACCTTGTAGAAGATGCCCAGCATGTGATTAAAAACAACAGCATTGATATGTTTTCAGAGGTGGGTTCAGAGATAGCAAAGATCAGAAATTGCAGTGAACTTGCAGAAAAAATCTGCGAGTTAACTCTAGCAGACTACGCTTTCAATAAATACCCACCATCTCTAACTGCTTGCTGCGCCCTGAGACTTGCATGTCAATTACTGAAAACCGAACACCGTTTTACTGAGCAGGCAGCTGTAAAGATGGAGGAAGACCAATGGGAGTGTTTCAGACATCTATGTACTCAGTCAGTTTGCATCCAGCCATGTGAAAACCCTGTTTTTACCCCTGGGGAGTGTTTGAGAGTGGAAGAGTCTGCAGGTCAGGACTACAGCCTGGTGCAGGAATGTAAAGAAAACCTAAAGCTACTGGTGTCACTGAATCAGGAAACTCTAAAAGTGATGCCAATGATGTAACATGTCACCTTTTAGATAATAATAAAAAAAATTTTTTTTTAGCAATAATGTTTTAGATTATTTGTATTTATTCAGACATTAATTGTCTAAATACCTCATGAACAGTCACGTTTTTAAATGCTAAAGGTGTACTTGATATTATATTTGTATTTATTTGTATAACTATTATTTTAGCTGTGTTAATCATTATGTAGCATCTTAAATAAAGGATCTGAAACATTTGTATGTTTATTTATTGTTTATGTAATAAAATATATGAAAAATCCTTTTCTTTTTTTTTGCTTTTACTTTGTTGGGGAGGAACAGTGATCTACACATCAGGGTGCAGAATCTGTTGACATGATAACCATACTCATACAGTCAAGCATTTATGTGAGTGAGAAAACAAAAGTACAGTACTTGTTGAGAAAAGCTATAAGAAGTCCTATGCAATCTTTTTTTCACAAGTGAGGGATACATCAAAAAGTTTAAGTAAGGTGCTCTTATCAGATGAGACTAAAGCAGATTATAAATACACCAAAAGAAGAGAAAAATCTATAAAATGCATGAACAAAACATATCCCACTATTTAAAGAGGTATAAATAAAATTAGTTTTTTAACAGAAATGCTAAAATGATCCGCCTTATGTAAGACATAAGACCATTATACAGTTTAGGACCAGCTATGGAGAAGGCTGAGCCTCATATAGGTTACGGCTGGTTCTCTATACTGAAAAATCAGTGAATACTCAGCTTCTTCAGAGGAAGAGGTGGAAAGAAGAACTGTAAAAGTTTAGAGATGTTGAGTAGGGATGGCCATTTTAAGATAAGAAAAATCTCAAGGCTTGAAATAAAAAAATGAATCTTCAAAT